CCGGCGGCACCTTTTTTTGAATTTTCTTCCTTTTCAACGCCGTTTTTCGGGGATTTCGGATTTTTTTTTGAATTTTTTCGCAATAATATTCGGAAAATAGATAACTTTTAACACATTTTAATGCAATAAAAATTTTTGGTCTGAGTCCCCCTTTAATGACCTAAAAATACAATATTTGGATTTTTAGGCCAAGTTGGAGAATTCGAAGTTGAGCTAGATTAGAGAAAATTATGATAGCTCGAAATTTAATGACCTAAAAATTTGAAATTCGGGTTTCTAGGCTAGGTTGGAATAGTTGAAATTAAGCTGGTTTGAAGATAGTTATGATCGTTTAAAGTCCTAAAAATCCAAATGTTGGATTTTTAGGTCTTTTTCAAATTTTCGAATATAATTTAGTTTAAAGGAAGTTGTGATTGTTTGAAGTTGAATCACCTAGAAATCCAATTTTTGAACTTTTAGGCAAATTTTAAATTTTTGACTTTCTCTGAGTTTAGAAGAAATTATGACTGGTTGAATTTTAATGGCCTAGAAATCCAAAATTTTGATTTTTAGGCCAACATGACCTAGAAACTTCAATATACAAATTCCTAGGCCACCAATTCCAAATTTCCAGGGTCATCAACGTATTCATTATGGAAAATATCCCAAAAAAGCATCGAATGTGGATTAATATGGCAATTACCTGGTCACCAAATATGCCGATTTATGCATGGTTTGCATGGTAAGAGATAATTTTGAAGAATTTTTTAAAATTTATTTTTTCAACTTTCTGAACTTCAGGCTAGCTCAAGACTGGAAAACTCTGGCATACATCAATGCGGCAGTTTGTATACCTGCAATAATATTTTTCCAATTTTTCATTTATGAATCTCCAAGATGGCTGGTCAACAAGGGAAAGATTAGTGAGGCTGTACAGGTAAGAGACACAAAATTAAAAAATTCGATTTTCCCGCGTTTTGTTGATTTTAGAAATCTGAAATTCGTAGAAAACAGATGACAATGAATATAGTCATGAAGGAAAATTTAACAATATCGAATCAAAAATTTTTAAAAATTGCTCAAAAATTTCTAGAATCAGTTCGAACTGACAATTTTAGATTCATTGAAACCGCTGAAAAAATGTAGTTTTTGAAAATATATTTTTCAGAAAACCTTCACAAAATCTAACGAAAATGAACCATTTTTCCTGAAACCTTAAAAATTAATATTTTTGAAAAAGGTTAGAATTTTTCAAAAATTCGTAACTTTTTCAGTTTCCAACCTTTTTTGATGGTTTTTAGCTTAAAATGCGCCGAAGTTTTCAAATTTTATGATTGCAAAAAAATCTTACTTCAGGTCCTCGAAAAGCTATCTGAAATTTTTTTCTGAAAAAAAAAGTTTTTTTGAAAAAATTAAAATTTTTCAAAAACTCATAGCTTTTTTAGTTTTCAACCTTTTTTGATGGTTTTTAGCTTAAAATGCGTAGAATTGTTGAATTTTTTAAATATCTACATTTGTTACAACTTCCAAAAACAAAAATCGAATCTCAGGTTCTCCAACGCCAGCTGAAAATGTCCAATCACGAAGATTTGATTGAGGAAGATTTCGAAGACAACTTGAGATTGGAGCATGCTGTAAACTTTATTACCTATTTTGAAATTTCCAAAAAAAAAATTTTTTTCAGAAAACAATGCAAAAGAACACTCGAAACATCAAATTCTCCTATAATCACCTGTTCGTCACTCCGAGATTAGCACTCACCACAATTGTCTTGGCTTATAGCTAGTAAGTTGAGCTTTAGGAGTTCTTGAGTTATTTGAAATTTGGTGAATTTTGAAGAAGAGAAAATTTCCTACCGTTGAGCTATAAACCAAAAAATTGGTTCAGAATTAGATGAGTTAGGAGGATTTTAATATTTTTGAAGTGAAAAATTTTTGAAAAAAAAATTGGAGAATTAGTTTTTAGTCTAAGAAAATAGGATTTTGATTGTTGAAGTTAAAAAGGCTTTAAAATAAGGTCGTTTTTGGACTTTTCAAATTTGAAAAATTAGAAAAAAAATTTTTTTCAGCTGGTCTACCTCTATCATCAATTATGGTGTACTATTCAATATGGAAAAACTGTCAGGATCAATTTATTGGAATTCTGTATACACTGGAGTGATGAGATACGTTTGTAACCTTTCATTCGGCTATGCAGATCTCAAATTCCAATGCATTGGTCGGAAATTCATTCATACCAGTGGTCTGGTGATTGTATTGCTCTCCTTGAGTGTCGTTGTCATGTCTTATGCTCTTCGTGAGTTATTAAATTTCAAATTTCAAATTTTAACTTTAAAGAAATTGAAATTCCCCACATTTTGAGCTAAAAACCAAAAAAAATTGGTTGAAAATTAAGCAATTTGGGAGGATTTCAATTTTTTTAAGACACTAATTTTTTTTGAATTCAGACCTGAACCACGAAATGAAGGAGACCATAAGAATCTGCATTCTACTTGCCAGCTCGATGACGTCACAAATCTACATAGCAGACGGAATCGTTGGAAATGAGCTGTTCCCAACGCCAGTTCGAACGATTGGCTATTCATTTTTACAACTATGGAATCGTCTTGGCGTCGTGTGTTCTCCGTTCATTTTTTATTTGGTAAGAAAGAACCATCATTTTTTAATCTGGGTCATTGAATTTAGTATTTAGATGCGTCTAGAAACCCAGATTCTGAAAATATATTTTTGACTCAAATCTGATGAAAACTAAGCAAGTTACATCAATTTTTCTGAAGATTTACTACTGCTTTTGATACTGCTGGGCAGTAGCAAATTTGGGTTTTGCTATTGCCGAGCAGGTGTAGAATCCCAGAAAATCAACTATAACTTGCTTAGTTTTTGCTCAAACTGTATGAACTCTACATTTTTGGAATCAGCATTAACGCATATTTTCATGTACCACAATTTTCCAAAAACAAAAAATGCTCATTTTATAATGAGCTTAGAATGCCAGAACTTTCTTGAGCATTAAAACAATGGATTTTTGAGTTTCAAACTCATTTTTAGTATCACTAGATTTGCCTTATATCAGGGATTCCGAAAATATAAATTTCAAAAAAATCTGAGAAAAAATAAGCAAGTTACAGCTCATTTTTCTGAAGAATTGTATCCATTTTGGTACTGCTTAGCAGTAGAAAATTTGAATTTTGCTACTGCTGGGCAGGTGTAAATCAAGTGGGCAGTAGCAATTTCTCAATTAATCGCCTTTTAAAAAATCGATTTACGAACCTCGAGAACTTTTTAAATATCAATGAATTCGCCTTGAAACAGGGATTCCGAAAATACAACTTTAAGAAAAATCTGAGAAAAAAATAAACGAGTTACAGCTCTTTTTCTAACGATTTTCTACTTCTTTTGATACTGCTCTTTTTAAAAATCTCCTATATTTTCCAGGCCGACTACTGGCTAGCCCTTCCATTCTGCTGTATGTTGTTCTTCTCCTTAATCGACACCTTCTCATTCGAATTGTGTCTTCCTGAAACGAAAGGACGTCATCTTGTGGAGCACATGCCACCACGGGATCAGTGGTGTTTCGGAGGAGGCGTCAAGGGAGAAATTATCGAGGAAGACGAGGAAGTTGGCGAGGAGTTGAGGCCTCTGGAGGCATAGCGATAATTTTATTTTATTTTTCATATTGATAAAATTGTTTAAACTTATGATTTTTTTTACGTTTTTCAAGTTTTCCGAGCGAAGTTCTCAAATTCGGAAGGCTAAGTATGCAAGCGCGCTCTGTTTGCACGCGCGAGAGAGTGAGAGACGCAGGTTTCAGTGAGGAGGAAAAGTGTATTTTTTCAACTAATTTTTTTCAATAAAACATTTCCAGCCAAGTTCCCAATGGATTCGGACGTTCAAAATGGGGATTTAGATAAAAAAGCGATGATGACACAAGTAAAAATTCGAAAAAATCCCTGAAAAAAAACACCTTTTTCCTTCAGCGCTACGCAGACACCGCCGCAATCTTCGAGGAATTCTTTAAATCGACTGCTCATGGAGATTTAACAGCGATATATCGAAACCGGCCTTGCTATTCAAGTATTCTATCAGTCGAAAAGCTTACTAGATGCGCAATTGATGCGTTTGTGTACTTTCCATCGGCTCGACCAGCCATTTATCATTATACGGGCATGATGATTCATGAATGCGTACATCACTGGTTCAATAAGAAGGAGAATGTTGCGCAGAGTAAGGGAACGCCATTAAAAACTCTGAATTTCAGAATTTTGACCAGAAAATTGAACATTTCAGCCATTGACACCACCAGTGCTCAGGAAGCCACGTCACAGTTGCTGAATTACTATATACGATTCTTCACAGAAGCCAATGGAAAAGGGGGTTTGGAGGAGATTTTGCAAGTGAGAAATTCGATTCTTACAGTGCTGAAAATTTAGTAAATTGCGGTAGAAAAATTGAAATTTGAAATTTTACAAAAAAATTTGATTTTGCAAATTCTAGTTTATTGAATTTTGTAGAATTTTTATATAAACTGATGCAGTTTGGAACAAGGAATCGAACGGTATAATTTTTATCGAATTTGGATAAAAAGTGAAAAAGTTAGAACAAAATTTTTTCCGATTTTGGTACTGCTTGCAGTAGTAAAATTGACTTTTGTAATGCTAAACAGAAGCAAATTTTGATTTCATATTAACTGATGCAGTTTGGAATAAGGAATCTAACTGTATAATTTTTATCAAATTTGGATAAAAAGTAAAACAGTTAGAACAAGATTTCTCCGATTTTGGTACTGCTAAGCAGTAGTAAAAATGGATTTTGCAAGTCTTTTTTAGTGAATTTTGTACAAATTATATATAAACTGATGCAGTTTGGAACGTGGAGTCGAACTGTATAATTTTTATCAAATTTGGACGAACATTAAAAAAATTAGAGCAAGATTTCTTCGATTTTGGTACTGCCCAGTAGTAGTAAAATCCATTTTTTTCCATCAAAATTTGATTTTGCAAGTTTTTTTCTTGAATTTTGTAGGATTTTTATATAAACTGGTGCAGTTTGGAACAAGGAATCGAACTGTAAAATTTTCATCAAAGTTGGATAAAAAGTGCAATAATTAAAAAAAGATTTCTCCGATTTTTGGAACTGCCAAGCAGTATTAAAATTGGATTTTGCACCTGCTGGGAAGTAGCAAAACTTGATTTTTCATGGTTTATTTTGCGAATTTTTGAAATTTTTGTTCAAATCGATGCGTTTTGCAACAAGAAATCGTACTGTATAATTTTTATCAAGTTTGGATAAAGTAAAAAAGTTAGAACAAGATTTCTCCGATTTTGGTACTGCTTGGCAGTAGCAAAATTAATTTTTAGTGCAGCCAAATTTCGAAAATTTTTTTTAAAAGAAATTTCAAATCAATCGATGCAGTCTGGAATAAGGAATATATCTGTTTAATTTTTTTTTGAAATTTGGAATGTACTTCTTGTTCAAGTGGAACCAGAACAGAAAGGACGAAATTGCCCGTGCCGAGAGTAAAGCTGCCAAAGCCATCGCTGCTCCCGCTCATCACTAACTCAGTCGGATGTTTCTAGATTTGGTTTTATTTTTTCTTCGGACAATAGTTTTGTCCAGGATGTCGGTTTATGTAATGCTATTTCCCTTTCAATAAACGAATAAACAAAAATTGAAAAAGTTAGAACAAGATTTCTCCGATTTCGGTACTGCTCAGCAGTAGTAAAATTGAATTTTGGTATTGCGAAGCAGTAGTAAAATGAAGATTTGCTACTGCTAAGCAGTGTAAAATTTAAGAGCGCGCTTTGAAAAAGTGTTATAACTCGCTTCGTTTTCGATCGTTTTCAATGAAAACTGATTTTCTAGAACCAGCGCATCAAGGCGCATAGAGAGACACATCTAAAATTCCCTAATTTTCTTAATTGCAATTTTTCCAGTGGGCCTGCGAACTGTGCGCCGAGCTCAGCTCCAAAAATGCGGGACGTCCTGCGATGGCACAAGTCCAACAGAACGGTGAAGTACTGGCGATACTCAAATCCAACGAGCTCATCGACAAACTTCTCTCCCTTATGAATATGGTGGTGACAACTGCTCTAAACGAGAATCCTGACGGATGTATGAGGGCGTTATTCGAATCGAGTCGGCATGGACAACATTTCAGTTGGATTTGGCTTCATATTGCGTAACAATTGATTTTTCTTTCGAATTTCAAATTTAAAAAAAATTCCAGAACCTTCCTCCAAGGCACCATAATGACACATCTTCTGGAATCGGGCGCTGAGCAATTCAAAACCTACGCTACTGAAATCAATAATCGAAAAGCTGTGCAATCCTCTGGTCCGGCAGTTCTGAATATCATTCAGACGGAATATGAGCACAAATTTCGAGCGATTTCCGAGGTTTTTAACTTTCTGATGGCTCGAAGGAATCCAGAGCTTCAAGAAGCCGTGTCACAGTTGATAGTAGATAGTTTGGACTCGAAAGTCGAGAAATCCGGCGAGAAAATCGAGAAATCCTCGACGAACCGGCTGGGATTCGCATTTTTCTTCAAATTAGTCACTTGTTCGCTGAAGACGCTACAGATTCTGGTCAACAGTAATTGCCATCTGAGTAAGGGAATTTTTGGCTGAAAATTAGATTTAAAATAAGTGGAAAAAATGGAAACTTCTGGAATGTTCTGAAACCGAAAAATAGGCGATTTTTCGAAAGCAAAATTGATTTGTTCTCCAATTTTTCGCAAAATTTTTAGACCTTTTTAGGTTTTCCAGTTATTTTTGAAGATTCTTTTTCGATTTTTCCGGTTTTTTTTTCGTCTGAAATTCGACGGGATATTGTTATCTTGGCGGAAGATTACTGTAGATTAATGTAGAAAAACTTGTAGTTTGTAGTTTAAAACTGTTTTCTTCTGCATTTTGACGTGATTGTGTTTGAAAAAACCAAAACTACAAACTACAAGGTTTTCTACAGTATTCTACAGTAATCTTTCGGCACAAACACTATCCCGCACCAAATTTCAGACAAAAAAAACCGGAAAAATCGAAAAAGAATCTTTGAAAATAGCTGAAAAACCGAAAAAGGTCAAAAAATTTTGCAAGAAAAGCGAAGAAAAAATCAATTTGTCTTTCGAAAAATCGCTGATTTTTCGCAGTTCTCCGTTTTGGCGGGAATTCAAATTTTAGAACCTTCCAGAAGAAGCGATTTTTCGAAGTATGGCTATTTTCTCTGAATCTTTCCTATGTTGCTGTATGAATCTACATATTTTTCTGCACATTTCGATAAGGAAATTCAAATTCTACCTTTTCCAGTCACCCCATTCAACGTGGTCCGCGCCATCCGTCATGTACAAGCCGCTGATAAGTCCCTCATCCTTCCCGCCCTCTCCTATACGGATTTCATGAAACAAATCCTTGGTGACGTGGATCCGACAACCCATGGAATGATATTCGAGCTATTCATCGAGCTCGTCTACCGTACCGATGTCTTCGACGGAGAGGATCTTCCGGAATTCGAAGAATCGAATCAGCAAATCAAACGAGACTGCTATCCAGTCCTGGATTTCATGATCAATCAGCTAGTCCGGATTGCTCATTCCAGCGGGGGATTCAAGTGTCCAACGATGCATCCAGCGATTCAGATGTACTCGTCTGGAGATCGGCTACAGTTTTTGATTGATTCAGTGTCAGCGAATATTGTGAAATCTGGCTCAATTGTACGTCATCTTCACGCCATCTCCATTGCTCATGATGCCACTAAAGCCGCGGAAATTTCACTGAGATTCTTGATGACTACACGTTTCGATGACACGGATTCGGTAGAATATTCCAGAATTTTTTAATCCCTATCCTCTGATATTTACAGCTCTACGTCTTCATGTCTTTCCTCTCAGCGACTGTCCCATTCTACCCCGACCTAATGAATCATATGTGGAAAGAGTTCTCGGGTCTGAAATTGGTTATTGAGAGCTCTTATGCCGAGCAACCGGACAATGTGAAAATCCATCTGAATCTTCTCCATAATATTCGACAAATTCTCGAATGGGAGCTGATTGAAGAGCCAACGGAGAAAGTTGGGGATCCCAAGAAGCCGTACGCCTTCTGGAATTTGTATCCCGGGCAGAGTGTTGGATCGCTTCTGAATTCGTTAATGGGAGACACAAATAGAATATGCTGGGAGATGATGGAGGTGAGGATTTGGCTTTTTTGGCACTGGAAATAATAGCAAAACTTGATTTTGCTAGTTTTTTTTGTTGTGATTTCTTTGCCAAATTTTATATGAACTGATGCATTTTGGAATAAGGAATCTAACTGTATGATTTTTATCAAATTTGGACAAAAAGGAAAACAGTTAGAACAAGATTTCTCCGATTTTGGTACTAGTTTAGAACAAGGAATCCATCTGTTTAATTTTTTTGGAATATGGTAAGAAGATTGAAAAAGTTAGTGCAAGATTTCTCCGATTTTGGTACTGCCCAGCAGTAGTAGAATTGAATTTTGGTACTGCTAAGCAGTAGTAAAAATAGATTTTGCAAGTATTTTTTGGTGAATTTTGTATAAGTTATATATAAACTGATGCAGTTTGAAACAAGGAATCTAGCTGTATAGTTTTTATCAAATTTGGACGGAAAGTAAAAAAGTGAGAACAAGATTTCTCCGATTTTGGTACTGCTAGGCATGTGCGAAATGCATTTTTGGTACAGCCAAATATCGAAAAAGAATTTAAAGAAATTTCAAATCAATCGATGCAGTCTGGAATAAGAAGTCTAGCCTGCTGGGCAGTAGCAAAAGCCACGTGGAAGATTTTACTACTGCCTGGCAGTACCAAATTCAGGTTCCTTCCCTATTTTCGACCTTTTTATGATCATTTTCAGCAATTTTCAATAATAAATAAAAACTGTAAATTTTCAGTCTAGCAAATGGGAAGAAGCGATGAACATCTACCGATTCAGCGACAAGCTTCTGGAGGCTCTTCGTTTAGCATGTAGTCCGATAAAAATGCTAACTAATGAACGAAAAATCGTGATGAACATATCGGAAATGTACAAAGTGATGAGTCAATTTGCGATTATGCTCAAAACCACGTTGTTTTTAATTACGCAAGGTAGGTTCTAGACCTAAAAATTACAGTATTCTCTAACCAATTAAAAAGTGATTTCAGAGAATCTGAATGGGCTGGTGGTTTTCGAAGAATTACGGAGTCAAATCGTCGCGTTTCTCTTCGGACCTCACATGCTTCCAGAATTGTCTCAATTCTCGCCGATTTTTGTGAATTTCTTCGTTACGGTTTGTATGATGGACTCGAAAAAGTTGTTCGACGAGCGAATTGGCGAATCGATGGGAAACTTACTGGACGAGACGGGTCTTCAGAAGCTGGTGGATAATGTGCAGTTGGAGGATGGACCATCGGTGCTGGAGGGGTTGAGATCGCTGAAAATGAGGGATAATGCGCTGGATATGCTGCATACGGGACAGTTGAAACGGAGGAGGGGCAATGAGATGAATGCGAGAGGTGTTGAGGAGAATGTAAGCTTATAGACTGAAAGTCGAGGTTTATTGCTAAAAAATGTGTTGAAAAATATTCAGATTCATGTAGAAACAAAGAAAAAATTCGAAATATTGCTTTTCTGGAAACTTCCTTAAGCTGTTTAGACCTTTCCAAATGTTTAGACCTTTTCAGGTTTTCCAGCTATTTTTGAAGATTCTTTTTCGATTTTCCGGGTTTTTGTTGTCTGAAATTCGACGGGATGGTTTTCTTGACAGAAGATTACTGTAGGTTACTGTAGAAAATCTTGTAGTTTGTAGTTTTTTTGTTGCGAAAATTCTAACTTTTATCTGCATTTTGCCGTGATTGTGTTTGCAAAAGAAAACTACAAACTACGAGTTTATCTACAGTAATCTAACCACCGACCCGTCAAATTTTAGATAACAAAACCCGGAAAAATTGAGAAAGAACCTTTGAAAATAGCTGAAAATCTGGAAAAAGTCTAAAAATCAATAAAAATGCTAAAAGAAAAATGCTGTTTTGTCAGAGTCCCCCTTTCAGGCCAGAAATCAGGGTTGTGACCACTTTTAGAGCCTTTTTCGATTTAACATTGATAATTTTTCCATTTAACATTGAAAACGCTAAAAAATGAACAATTTAACGATTTTTGGTTTATTTTTCATTGATTTTCATGTCAAAAATCGGGTTTTTCTGCTAGAAGGAAGATCGAATTTCCAGGAAGACGTCATTCAACGCCTCCACACCGTCCTTGACGCCGTCCGAACGATGTGTGCTTCGGGAGACAACGCCATCCAGATCGCTTGCAGCCAACAGCTAGCCGAGGTTCTTGTTCAGTCAGTCTGTCAGGATTCGCTGATGATGGATATGCGATTTGATGAGTGGGACGCCGAGGCAGAGTATATTCACAGGTTTTTCTGTCATTTTAAAGCATGTCTGGACCTTAAAATTGCTCATTTTAGACACGTGGAAGTCGCGCAACGCATCAATCAATCGCAATTCTGCGATGGAATCCTTCGAATCCTTGCCGACACTCGAGTCTTTGCACTTTGCCTGCCTATTATGAAATCGAAGCTGGCAGTGATTATAAATGAGACTGAGAAATTCCCGGATCACAAAACAATTAGCGAAGTGACGCGGCAAAAATTACATAATTGGTTCTATCTGGCCAGCAAGGGAGGCCTGATCCCACCGCGTTTCAGTTATATCTGTGATTTAGAGAAGTATTCCACGTGTCATGAGACGTATCTGATGTTGCTGGAGGTGTGGAAGTTCTTTTTGGTGAGTCATTAGCTATAAAACATAATTTTTGGTGCTGCTTAGCAGGTGCAAAATGGATTTTTTGTAATAAATTTCATATAAATCGATGCATTTTGGAACAAGGAATCTAACTTTGTTATTTTCATCGAAAACGGACAAAAAGTAAAAAAGTTTGAGCGAAATTTCTCCGATTTTGGTACTGCTTGGCAGGTGTAAAATTAATTTTTGGTACTGCCAAATTTTCAAAAAAAAAATTTGATTTTTAAACAACTTTTTAAATATAAATCGATGCATTTTGGAACGGGGAATCTAACTGTAGTATTTTCATCGAAAATGGACAGAAAGTAAAAAAGTTAGTGCAAGATTTCTCCGATTTTGGTACTGCTTAGCAGGTGTGAAACGAAAATTTGCACCTGCCAGGCAATAGTAAAATGAAATTTTGGTACTGCTTACCAGGTGTAAAATCAAAATTTCGAAATTTTTTTTTCGAAAATGTCATCTTTTGAAAAATTTGAAAAATTTCAGCTTTTTCACTAAAATTTTTCTAAAATTTAGGAATTTTTTTGAGCTTTTTGAATTTTCAGTTCCGAAACACGACGCGAGACACCATCGACATCTACCACAAATCGCTTCGTGACAACGCCATCGACGAGGGATTGCCGCACGAGAAGGAGGCGATGGAACGAGTGAATATGGCCGTGTTTCGAATAATTATTCAAAATCATCTCCCGCATACTGTAGCCGTTTTCCCCAAATTGTTCCCCGTTGAATTTGAGTTTTTGCGGTTATCTGTTGTTGATTGACCTTTTTTTACCCATAATTTATTCTTTTTTTTTCATTTTTGTGCCTTCTTTTCTGATGATCTCAAAATATATTTCATTTTTCTTCAAATGTTACATCAAAAATCGCTTCTAGAACTTGCAGAAAACACAAAATATCACCCCTTTTTGATTTTTTTAATTCCTACCTCGATGCTTCTTCCCGAAGATTTATATGACGCTTTCCAACCCCCTGAACAAAGTTTTACGATCCCCCGATCATAAAACCTCTTGCACACCCTTAAAACGCTTCTCCGAACACTGTAGAAGAGGAATTCAGATGACAGCCATGCGATTTTTCGCAATTTTTCTAGCATTTTCCCCAATTCTCGGCGTTTTCGCAGCTTTTGAGGATCCCGAATTTTTCGAGATCAAAATCGATAGAGAGCATCCGGAGGCGGTTTATAAGGCGTTTAAAGAATTTAAAATTAAGTGAGTCAAATTTCGAAATTTCAGGATTTTTATTATTTTTAAAAAGTTTAGATACAATCGAAAGTATAAGGATGCATCGGAGACGCAGATGAGATTCAATCAGTTTGTGAAGAGCTATAATAAAGTGAATGAGTAAGTTTACTAGATTGCTCTTGTTACGCAGATTCTGAAAATATAGATTTTATAAAAATCGGATGAAAATGAAGTCTGGTACTGCTAAGCAGGTGCAATATTGAATGCCAACAATATTAAAACTGTCTTAAATTTTTCAAAAGATTCGTTCTTATGATTTTTAGTTTTTTGCGGTATGAAAAGATGCGCCTTGCTTTGTAGATTCTGAAAATATAGATTCCATAAAAATTGGGTGAAAATTCGATGAGTTACAGACTTTTTTCTGAACCCTACTTTCAAATTGTCATAACTCGCTTCATTTTCATAATTGTTAGTTTCAGTTTGTTATCAGTAGATGCGCCTTCTATCGCAGATTGAGAAAATATAGATTTCATAAAAATCTTATGAAAATAAAGCGAGTTAGAGACCTTTTTCTGGAGCCGCGTCTACATTTTACACCTGCTGGGCAATAGCATAATTGAAACTTTGCTACTGCTTAGAAGTACCAAAATTGGACAGTCTCTTTGGAAAAAGTGTCATAACTTGCTTCGTATTTGCTCAATCTCAATGCAAATTATATTTTTGGAATCAGCAAGAGTGGAAGTTTTTAAAATCCAAATTTCATAAAAATGGGTTCACAAATAGAAGAGTCACAGCACTTTTTCTACTACTTTTGAAATATTATAAATCGCTTTGTTTTCATTATTTCAGTTTGAGTTAAATGTCAAAATACGCGCCTTGTTACGCAAATTCTGAAAATTTAGACTTTATACAAATCGGATAAAAACTATGAAAGTTACAGACCATTTTCTGGAGCGGCATTTACATTTTGCACATGCTGGGCAGTAGCAAAATGAAACTTTGCTACTACTAAGCAGTACCAAATTTCATTTGAGCAGTATTGTCGAATTAAAAAAGTGACATTTGAAAATTTGAAAACTTTTGCTTTTTTTGATCTACGAAAAAGTGCGGCAAAAACGTAATGTTTCAGAATTTCGGCTCGTTCGAGCTACTTTCGCGTTTAAGTTTATTTTTTGGAGAAAAATAGATTCTAGAGATGCTGGCGATCATTTTTATACCAAGAAATCAAAATTTTGTTCAGAAAATCCCACTAAATTCACATAAATAAATTTATTATCTACAGTATCCGTTTTCGCTCCGCCCCCTCGTAAATCGACACGAGCGCCGTCTCCGAGATTTTCAGGTGTCCCTTTTTTTAATCCGACAATAGTAAAATCAATTGAATTTTTACAAAAAAGTGTCATAACTCGCTTCGATTTTGGTCGATTTCACTGAAAGTTATATTATTAAAATCAGCAAGAGTTGAAGTTCTTAAACTATGAATTTCATAAAAATTAAATGAAAACTAGAGAAGTTACTGAACTCCTTCCGATTCCTACATTCAAGCTCTTAAAAATCACTTCGATCTTATAATTTTAAGTTCACATTTGCAAAAAATTACGATTATTCCAAAAATATGAATATACAAAAATTGGGTAAAAACTAGAAGAGTTACAGAGCTTTTTCTGAAGTTTCTAACTGCTAAGCAGTACCAAATTATGATTAGCAGTAGCAAAATTCAAACCTGTTACAAAAAAGTGTCATAACTTGCTTCGTATTTGCTCAATCTCAATGCGAATTATATTTTTGGAATCAGGGTTTCAAGAAGCATCTTAAATTCTCTATTCACTATTTCATCTATTAACTTTTGTACCGTTTTTCCAGCCTCAACGCCAAAGCTAAGGAAAGCGGCTACGATACCAAGTTCGGAATCAACAAGTTCGCTGATCTGACGGAGGGCGAATTCAGTGGACGTCTGTCCCACGTCGTCCCCAACAACACAGGAGTTCCAGTGCTCGACTTGGAGAAGCCTTTTTTTCGGCAGGCCGTCGTCAACAAAACAAGACATAAAAGACGATCAACAAAATATCCAGATTACTTCGACCTGAGAAAGACACTAGTCAATGGGGAATCCATCATTGGACCGATTAAGGATCAGGGAAATTGCGCGTGTTGCTGGGGATTCGCTATCGCTGGATTGGTGGAGTCTGTGAACGCATTGCATTCGAATCGGTTCAGGGTGAGGCAGATATTTTTCATTTTTTACAATTGTAATGTCATTCAAAGCTCATTAAAACGCTGATTTCAAAAATATAACTTTCATGAGAATTGAACAAAAAATAAGCTAGTTATGGCGGTTTTTGACAGACCCCTGAATTTTACTACTGCTCAATGAATTTTGGTACTGCCCAACAGGGGCAAAAGAATTTGGCAGTAGTAAAACGCACTGTTCCAAAACTTCAAATAGCTGTAGCTCGCCTAGTTTCCACCCAATTTTTATAAAATTTATATTTTTATAATCTACAAATTCAGGCGCATCTAGTGATAGCAAAAATAAACAAAAATGAAAAGGTGTTGCTTAGAAAAATAATAGGAAGTAAGAGGTACTTATGACAAACTTAGAACATGACTTTCAAAAGTCTTGAGATTACCTTGAAATTGAATTTTATATCATTCTATGCTCCTTGAAACGTTGATTTCAAAAATATAATTTTCATTTAAACAGAACCAAAACCAAGCGAGCTATAACACTTTTTTGTAACAGTTCCTTGAATTTTACTACTGCTTGGCAGTAGCAAAGCTTGATTTTGGTACTGCTTAGCAGTAGCAAAATTGAACTTGGCAGTAGTAAAATGCACTGTCCTAAAACTTCAAATGATTGTAACTTGTTTAGTTTTCATCCAATTTTCATGAAATTTATATTTTTAGAATCTGTGTAACAAGGCGCATTTAGTTATAACAAAATCAAAATATAAAAATAATAAAAACAGAGCAAATCAACCCTTTTTTTCAGTCTCTTTCCGACCAGGAGCTCTGTGATTGTGGAACAAATGGAACACCTGGATGCAAAGGTGGAAGTTTACAAAACGGAGTGGATTATGTGAACCGCTACGGACTTTCTGCTGATGACGATTATCCGTACGATGATACACGAGCATTTACTTCCAAGAGGTGCAGAGTGAGAGAAACCAGAAGAGTTGTGAAGGAGGTACAAGAAGATTTGTCTGAAATAAAGTTCTGAAAATTTCCAGAGAACCTTCACATATGCAGCAGTCAACGCGAGAAAAGCTGAGCAACAAATAATGGAAGTTTTAACCAAGTGGAATGTTCCAGTGGCAGTTTGTGAGATTTTTTGAAATTAAATTATCCCCAAATTAATTTTTTCTCAGATTTCAAAGTTGGCGACAGATTCAAATCATACGAGCAAGGAGTAATCGTAGAAGACGATTGTCGTGGGGCCAAGGATTGGCACGCTGGCCTTATCGTTGGATACGATTCGATTTCTAACAGTCGTGGAAGAGAATATCCATATTGGATCGTCAAAAACTCTTGGGGAAACTGGGCCGAAGAAGATGGGTACTTCCGTGTAATTCGTGGAGAGAATTGGTGCTCCATTGAGAGCAATGGATATGCTGGTGATATGAAATCACATGATGATTATTATTATTATTCATGATTGGTTCCTTTTTTTGTTGGTTTGCTGAGTCAATAAACCTAATTTTGGTCAAAATTGTTGGTCTGCAACCTTCGAAACTATTTATGAAAGTTATGGTATGGTGTTTCTCATATAATTTTGATATCTTGCAATGATCTTTGAAACGCTGATTCTAAAAATATAATTTTCATAAAAGTTAGTCAAAAACTATGCAAGTTATGACACTTTTCTTTAACTGGTCTTTAAATTTTAGTACTGCTTAGCAGTAGAAAATCCTCATTTTGCTACTGCCCAGCAGGTCATTTTGCTAATGCCCAGCAACTGCAGATGCCGCTTCAGAAAAAGTTCTGTAAATCTTCTAGTTTTCATCCAATTCTTATAAAACTTAGATTTTCAGAATTTGCGTATCAAGCGGATCTAATGATAACAAAAATTAATTGAAAATAAAAAGTGAGTATCTAGCAAATAAGAGTTATTTATGGAAACTTTAAAACATGAATATTAAAAGTCTTGAATTTGACACTCAGCAGAATTTTGTTATCATTCAATGCTCCTTGAAACGCTTATTTCAAAAATATAACATTCATTGAAATTGAACCAAAACTAAGCAAGTTATGACACTTTTTTGTAACAGGCTCTTGAATTTTACTACTGCTTATCAGTGGCAAATCTTGATTTTGCTACTGCCCAGCAGGTGCAAAATGCACAAGCCAAATCCTGGTGTTTCTCTAGACCCTCTTATTGTCTTACACCATTTTCTTATGAGAATAAGCTCCGCCCACGTTAGTAGGAAATATCATGGAGGATTGAGAGGTATCTAGAACTAGAGAAAGAAAGAGAGAGAGAGAGAGAGAGAGAGAAGCCAAAAAAGGGGCGGAGCCTAAAAATTGGCGTCGAGCATATTTATTTTCTTGCCATTCTGAATTCCATCGTTGCAATGATAACCACCGTCTGCTAGGAGGTTTTTAAATCTGATTTTTATAAAGATTTTGAATATTTTATTCCTGGTAAGGATTGGCGGGAAATTTGAACGTTTCGAAAATCTCAAATTTCAGAAATATTATCAATGGATAGCAATTAGAAGTTTGATCTTCCATTCCCGAGGGTTTGAAAAACGGTAAGAGGTTCAAGTTTTTAAATAATTCTGAAAGTTTCGAAAATTATTTTTCTGAAAATTTCAGATTTTTTTCTGAAATTTTGAATGATTTCTGAATTGTGATTTTTTCAGGGTTTCCATCAACCACGTCTACCGCATAACTGATCCAGACGGATTTATAAACGGTAAGAAAATGTTCAAAATTTTGAATTTTTGAAATTTTCTAAAAAAATATTTTCAACTACAATTTTGAATAATTTCTGGAATTTCAAATATTTTTCAGGGTTCCCACCAGGCTCAAATGCCACGTTATAGTCCTGGCAGGTTTTTTACAGTAGAGAATTTTTCGGATTTTTGAATTCCTGAAAAATTTTTGAAAAATTTTTTTTTTGAAAATTTTCTTTTTTTTCTCTAAAAGTTTAAATTTTGAATTTTTTCAGGGTTCTATCTTATCACCAGAAATTATGTTGGATCTTCTATGCCTATGTTAAAATATAATTATTTTATAATTTTCCGTTTTTTAAATTTTTTTTTAAATTGTATTTTTAAGTCTGGACCTTATTCAATAAATATTTTTTTTGTGATTTTTATTCTCTAAAAAAAAAAAAACTTTCAGAAATTTTCAGTTTTTCAGAGCTTTAGGTTTCTAGAAAATTCATAAAATTTAACTTTCCAGAAAATTTCAGGTTTTCAGAAAGTTATGGAATTTAGGAAAAATCGAATTTTCAAAAAATGTGTTTTCTGGTTTTTTTTTCTGAATCCCTAACATAGGGAAATCCAGTTTTTTGTGAAATAAAAAGCTCCAAAAAATGTCCCAACTGGCGGCATCCACCCCTCTGACAAGTCCTCTGTCCTACTGTAATCGAGTCCCATTCTTCTCATATCCGTAATAATCGCTTTGCTTATCCTCTAATACACAGTGTACAAAATATATAATCTTTATTAGTAAGAAATTTTCTCACGAAGAAAAGGAGATTCATAAATAATTAACTCCCTAATTTGGGACCCCAAAATCGGATTAAATCTGATGTTTGCTTCCTGGGAGACACCTGCTCCGAATCTAGAGCATTTGAGACCACGAAAATGTCCAATTTCCGGATTATCGTGTTCATCTTTGAGTAGTTTAATAGAAGGACGAGAAATAACCATCATGATGGAATGAAAATAGAAAAATCTATGGGGAAAAATATGTGTTTGAAGAACTTTTATCACAGTTCTTATCATTCAACAACAAATTAGGAGTTAGCAATAATGACATTGAAAAATTCCTCAGCATAAAATTTGTTGGTTTCTTCATAAATTTAAAATTTACTCATTATATCAAATTTCATTAGTTTTATTTTATAATCTCATGTTTTCTAAAAAAAATCCCATGATCGTGAGAATTTTCTTATTAAGGATCTTTCTTATTAAGAATCTTTCTTAGTAAGAATCTTTATAAGTTAGAATATTTAGTGAGATTCCTTTTTAATGAGAACCTTTCTTAGTGATGACTTTTCTTAATAAGGATCTTTCTTGGTAAGTGTCTTTCTTAGTAAGGATCTTTCTTAATGAGAATCTCTCGCAGTTAGGATTTTTTAGTGAGAATGTTTCTTAATGAGAACATTTCTTAGTAAGGATCTTTCTTAGTAATGACGTTTCTTAGTGAGGATGTTTCTTAGTAAGAATTTTGCTTAGTGAGAATTTTTCTTACAATTAGTGAGAAACTTTATTAATGAGACTTCACGACTACCAGTTAAACTACGCGGTGACGATTAACTTTATTAATACCGAATTTCAGTTTTTCAGATTTTCAAAACTTTCAGAAAGTATATACAGTACTGGCCGAAAAGAATGCGCCGACAGGTTAATTGCGTTGACAGGATTGTAACTTTCTTCAAACCGGAGCTAAAGTGTCCAACTTTTTTGTAAAATGTAGCAAGTTTATAAAAAATATTCTGAAACATTTTTATACAGAAAACGGAAAACAACTTTTTTGGCGACAAAATTCACTTTTTGGAAATTTTCGGATTTTTGAATTTTTTTGTTTTCAAAAATCTGACGATTATGAATGTGTAAAATTAATTTTGATCTTGATTTAAAAAAAAAATATTTATCATCGTTTTCCATTTTTTCCAAAACTTTTGAAAAAAAAACCTCCAAAAACCCGGAATTCTAGGGTTATTTGCTACATTTTACAAAAAAGTTTGACACTTTAGCTCCGGTTTGAAGAAAGTTACAATCCTGTCAACGCAATTAAACTGTCGGCGCATTCTTTTTGGTCAGTACTGTATATACTTTCTGAAAGTTTTGAAAATCTGAAAAACTGAAATTCGGTATTAATAAAGTTAATCGTCACCGCGTAGTTTAACTGGTAGTCGTGAAGTCTCATTAATAAAGTTTCTCACTAATTGTAAGAAAAATTCTCACTAAGCAAAATTCTTACTAAGAAACATCCTCACTAAAAAACGTCATTACTAAGAAAGATCCTTACTAAGAAAGATTCTTACTAAGAAAGATTCTTAATAAGAAAGATCCTTAATAAGAAAATTCTCACGATCATGGGATTTTTTTTAGAAAACATGAGATTATAAAATAAAACTAATGCAATTTGATATAATGAGTAAATTTTAAATTTATGAAGAAACCAACAAATTTTATGCTGAGGAATTTTTCAATGTTTTTCAATGTATTGCTAACTCTTAATTTTTTGTTGAATGATAAGAACTGTGATAAAAGTTCTTCAAACACATATTTTTCTATTTTCATGTCATCATGATGGTTATTTCTCGTCCTTCTATTAAACTACTCGAAGATGAACACAAAATTTTCCTGAAAAAAGTGTTCAATTTTTTAAGAGCATGCAGAGAAAAAATTTGGGTAATTGGCTTTAAAAAACATGGAAATTGTAAGTTTTTTTAAAGAGTTTCATCGAAACAGTTGGAGAATTCGTCGTTTCTTGCTTCAATAAGCTCTGTTCACTAGTCAAGAAATTATGGGGATCCGATGATTCGGACGATGGGACAGTTGAAGAAATCCCCTTGAAAGCTTTGGAAATCTCGTAAGTTTAAATTCGGTCAACATTCGTGGAAAAGCTAAAAGAATTTTCTAAATAAGTTAGTGAGAATCGTTTTCAGTGAGGATTTTTTCTTAGTGAGAATTTTTTTAGTGAGGATGATTATTAGTAAGGTTTTATTATTAGTCTTAATAAGGACTTTTCTCGGTGAGAATCTTTCTTAGTGAGAACCTTTCTTAGTGAAACTATTCCTCATTGAGAATCTTGCTTAATGGCGACATTTCTTAGCGAGAACGTTTCTTAGTGAGAATCTTCCTTAGTGAGAGTCTTTCTTAGTGAGGTTGTTTCTTAGTAAGGATATTTCTTGGTGAGATTCTTTCTTAATGAGAAATGTTCTCAATGAGGGTTTCTCTTAGTGAGAAAAAAAGCCTGAAATCTGAATTTGGAATTTCATATTCCAAAATTTTTTCAGAGAAAAAGAAAAAGCGATTGTGGACAAACTGACACAGGAAACAAAACAAGATGAGGCAAAAATAGCGGAAAAATTGTTGGACATTTTAGAACTTGTTGAAAATAACGAGGAAAAATTCAAACAAAGGAAATTGAAAGCAGAGAAAGAATTGGACGATTTGAGGAAAAGTGATGAGGAACTTCATAGAGAAATGAAACAAAAAAAGGTGGAATCGGATAAGAGAATCGAGGAAATGGTGGAAAAAGTGAACAGAGAACAGGAGGAAAAAGATCGGGTTTGATTTTTTTTTCAGTTTTTTTATGGCCTAACATTTTTGATTTTCAGATTGCTAACTCAGAGACAGAAAGGCTATTGTCCGAGACAAGAAGCCAGTTTCAACAATTATTTTCATCTCAGAAGAGGTATTGAGGAAAAAAAAACGAATTTTCAATCTGAAACTGTTTTCAGACCACTGGATCCTTGCCAAGATGCATCAGAACAATTGAATGATGCACTGAAAGTACTTATTGACTGTTTGGATCCTGAGGAATGAAAAAAAAGGATTTCTGATAAATAAAATATTTTGATCTCAATTCTCTTGATTTTTGTAAATCTCCAGCTTTTTCAAATATGATATGTTTTCCTAATTACAAATACCGTAAACACTCTAATAGAACGCCGAATCGTCGAATTCGAGCCCGTGTATCTCATTTTCTGTGAAAGATATCAAAAAGTGGTTAACTAATGAAATGCTGCTGATACCATAATAAACATTTTATCAGTTTATCACTTTTTGATATCTTTCAAAGGAACTGAGATATATAGGCTCAAAGTGGACGGTCCGGGTGGCGTTCTATTAGAGTGTTGATCAACATTTTTTCTCAAACTTCCCATTATCAACTCAATTTTTCTATTATCATCAGTTTTCGAAAAATCGTAATAGCTTCATCGAATATCAAAGATTTTTAATCAAGAATTCTTTAAATATTATAAAATGAGCATTTCAAAAATTGGAAATCCTTTTATCAATTATTCCTTGTTGGTTGCTAGACAATTGAGGCATTTCACAAAAGTAGGTTATATTATCCAAACAACTTGTGCTCACCCAATTCAGATTTGATCCATCCAAAAACATACATGCATCTAGCTGTAACAACTGGAAAACTGCAAGTAACTTTTTCTTAAAGTGTGAATTTGGCAGAAGTCGACAAATACTACAAAATATTACTATTAGGAATAGTATATCTTATCTATGAACGAAGTTACATAGACCACGGCGTAACTCAGATGGTTTTTGGCTTGTAACTTGGTTCATAGACAAGATACAGTATTCCAAATAGTGTCATTTTGTAGTTCTTGAGTTTTGTAAGCATTAAAGAAACTATGCCTAATTTCCCTCTTACCGAGCCGATATGATGACCATATACGAGTCAAATTGAATTTGGTCATCAATTTCTGCACATTTTTAGTATCATTACTTTTCATACTGATCAAACTGGAGTTGGAATTTTTTGAGCACGAAACTCTGGCGTCGAGCCAAGTTTTTGGGATTGGCATGATTTGGTAGCACGCCTTGTTGGGGCAATAGTAAACTGGAGGATCGGATTCTGGAATTCAAATTTTTTCCCTCGACATTATTTTCCATGTACCGGTCTATAAATATACAGAAAAAAAACATATTTCAGTTGATATTTGTTCATTTTCAGAAGTGTGGAGCTTGACTGTTAAGTTTCGGATCACTTTGAAAACTTTGAAGGGTGTAAAACAGACCTAGATTGAAAACTTTGCATTCACAGAATTTTTTGAAAATTCCTAGTTCCCCAATTATTTGTCAATTACTGAAGGAAACCCATTTTGGCCTATTTTTGTACAAGTGTCTTCCCAAAATCAGCAAATAGCTGAAGAACTAGAGATTTTCAGGAAATTCTGTAAATGTTAATTTTTTAACCTAAGTCTGTTTTACACCCTCTACGATTCTCAAAATGATCGGACACTTGACAGTCGAGCTACAGATTTTTGAAAATGCCAAAAAGCAATTGAAAACATTATCTTTGTATTACTTATTGACCGGTACTGTAGCAAAATCAATGTTACCTGGATGATGAAAAATCGACGGTACGACTAGAAACACAATGATAGGAACCGCAACAAAACTTGCTAAAAACAAAGCTGCAAGAAGTCTGGTCCAATATTTTTTGAAAAAAGAGTTGGTTTCCGGAAATTCGGAAATATATTCATAATATTCTTCCGGACCATTTCCTTGAAAAACTGGATTGTCATATTTAACAGGATTATTATTATTACGGACAACTTGTGGTTTTGACGGCGAATTGAACAAATCATTGACATTAAGTCGATAGCCATCTGAATTTCTTTTAAATTTTTAGATTAAAAAACTTCAAAATCTAAACTTAACTTGCATTTTTAAAAAAGAATTTTTGAAAATTTTGAATAGTGCTTATTATTATAAATATTTGTTAAACTTTATTTTATAGAACTTTAAAAAAAAGATAATAAGTATATAGCTAATAAGTACTCCGGAAGTGGTGATAAGAGAACGAAAAACAAAATAAGGTTAATCCCTAAAAAATTTTTATTTTTAGAAATTTTTTTTACTAAACAACTAAAAATATCAGTTTTTGAAAGGACGGAAAAAAAAGAAGAAGAACAGAAAAAGATTAAAAAAATATATTCCGAAACTTCGAAGTTGTGACGATCGTAATTCTCTGAAAATCTGAAACTTCCAAAACCGAAATATTCCAAAATATCGAAATTTGAAAACTTCAATTTGCTAATTTTAAATTCTTCATCGAAAAAAGTTTTTTTTTTTTTAATTTTTAATATTCCGCAAATTTTTAGATCCTGATGTTTCTCTAGACTCTCATTTTCCTGCACTAATTTCTTCTGGGAAGAAGCCCCGCCCACTTTTCTAGAGATGGTAGGCAAAAAGGGGGCGGAGCCTAATTTCTCGCGCTTAGAAAATTCTTTCTCTTGCCATTCTGAATTCCATCGTTGCAACGATAACCACCGTCTGCTAGGAGGTTTTTTTCTGATTTTTATGAAGATTTAAATTTTTTAAATATAGAATTCCTGGTAAGGCTTGGCGGGAAATTCGAAAATTTTGAAAATCTGAAATTTCAGAATGTTATAAATGGACTCTAGCATTTAGAATTTTTTCGGACTGATTTCATTTTTCCGAGGGTTTGAAAAACAGTAAGAGATTCAAGTTTTCAAACATAAATTTTGAAATACTTTGAGTTTCAAATTCGATTCTATGGTTTTCTCATTCCCTTGATTTTTTGCAAACCTCAAACTGTTTAAAAACCAATTTCAATTATCTAATTAAAAAAAAAATTCTTTAATCAAATGACATAACTTATAAAATAGATAAGGGGATTAACACTTGAGGTTTACTGAAGTTCATAATGGACCGCGGCGGGGGAATCTTGGAAAACTCCGCCCCTTTTTCACACTTTACGGGCATTTTAAGACATCAAAAATCATTAAAGAGGCCATGAACCTGAAGTGTGAAGGATATTTTGATATGAATGTGACGAGGTGAAGACGATAATACAAAAAAATTTAAAATAAATAATATAACATTTCCTGAGTCCAAAATCTTCAAAAAACTATTTTTTCGCATTTTTCAGTGCCTCCAACCGATTCGTTTTTCGATTCCTCCAATGTTTTTGAAGAATCTTTGCCGCAACAATTCTCAATTCCTCAAAGGTCAACGCACCCTCCGATTTCAAATAGTCAATAATGAGCATGCTCTGCGGACCTTGCTCATATTTCTCGGCACAATCTAATGGAGTTCTTCCGAGTCGTCCGAATGCGTTAGCTGCACTTCTTGCCTTGATAAGAGATAAAACACAATCGAATTTTCCAGCGAGACAGGCTTCATGAAGTGCTGTTTCGCCATTGATATCTAGGCAACTGACTAGTGGAGAGGAGAGCACGTAGTCTTCCTGTTCGATCTGAAAGGATTTTATTTATGCAACTGCTTTGAACTTCGACCTCGCTGCAGAAAATTGACCTAGTTTAAAGAAAATTAGACCAAATTATGACTCCCAAAAGAGATTTCCACACTACTTGTGTTTAAGTTCTTCTAACTTGACCAATTCTGATGTAGCGCATTGAAATGTTATACAATTCGAATCAGCAAAAAATTGAGATTTCATATCATACATTTATTTTCAGTTTTGATGATTTTGAAGAAAGTTATGAGCGTTTGAACAGCCGGTGTGCTTAACTTTGGTACTGCCAAGCAGGTGCAAAATCAATTTTGCTACTGCCAAACAATACCAAAATAAAACTTGCCTTTTTCAACGCGTCATATCTTTTCAGGATTCCATATTACAAAAAAGTTGTCAACTACAAAAATGAAGCACTAGTTTTGTTTTGTGTACGCCAAAATTTTCTAACGTTTTGAAGATGTATGAGCCATATTTCAAGGGGCTTAAAAACCACTGAATTGAAGTTTCTTTTTTTGAACTCATGGGGTTTTGAGGCAACTTTTACGGCTTTAAACATTTGCAAACTTTGAAAAATTATATTCATTAAACTCTTCAAGTCTTTGTGATTTTTTTAATACCATTTTTATCTATTTTGAAGCAGAGGTGCACCTGGACAAATTGAGTTTTTTCAACTACCGTATTTCGTCTAAGAGAAGCCCATCAAACAGTCAACTTTGAGCTCAATTTTTTCAATTCCTGTGAATGACATCAAAATTTTGTCAACTGATAAAATATTATAAATTTTATGATAAACAATTTATCAGTTGATAAAACTTTGATATCTTTTTCCGGAATTGAGATAATTGAGCTCGAAGTGGACGGTTCGGGTGGGCTTCTATTAGAGGAAATCCGGTATTATTCGATAGTTAGAACTTCTCAACCTCAAAGTCACAGAGCACAGCAAAAAAGGATCACTCACATTCAAAAGCACATTAATACACGCCGATGATCCTGCATTTGCAGCTGCATGCAGTGCAGTCCTTCCAAAGTTATCAGTTTTTGGACGCGCGCCTGTTTTTCCTGGTGACCTCCATTCAAATCCCAATTCCTTAATCATACAATGCAAAGTGTGACTCTGTCCACCCATACAAGCCCAAAACATTGGCGTTCTTCCGATTTCATCCTCTTCGTTCATAGCTGCTCCAGAAGATAGTAGGCAGCGAAGGACGTCAGTGTGACCACGACCAGCAGCTAGGTGGAGGGCAGTGTTCGAGTGGTTGTCTCGTTCGGATAGGGACCAACCCTTGAACGTCAAACATTTTGAATAAAAAAACAACAGTCTGGATCATTAAAAAACAATCTTTCTTAGTGAGAACTTTCCTTAGTGAGGATGTTTCTTAGTGAGAATCTTTCTTAGTGAGGACACTTCTTAGTGTGCAGCTTTTTTAGTGAGAATTGATCATTTTACACCCACCTGATTAGTCAAAATCGTGCAAATCTTCTCATTTCCCACCATCGCTGCCAAATGCAAAGCAGTATACCCATGCTTATCCCGATCGGCTCTTTTTGGTGCATCCTCTCGTTGAATCAAATAATTGATCACATCGATGTTCCCCGCACATACCGCCCACATCAGGCAGCTCCTGTTCTCGTTATCATTGACTTCTGTGATTCGAGATTCTTCGAAAATTATCTTCAAACATTCTACAGAGAATTGAGCGGCGTAGTGGGCTGGCGTGGCGCCGATGTTGTCGCGGGTCGAGTTTCGGGCACCTTGAATTACAAAAACTTCTGTCTTGGCCAATTTTGATAGAGAACATTTGAAAGGTATAAAATTAAAACCTGCAGGAAATGGGAATTTCAAACCAGCAATTCATTGTCAGTTATCATGATTTTGAAGGAAGTTATGAGCGTTTGAACAGCCGATGTGATTAATTTTGCTACTGCTAAGCAGTGCCGAAAATCCACTATAACCTCATTTAGACGCTTGTAACTTGGCTTAAGATTTAAATTCAAAGTTGATTTCTATATTAAACGGAAGCTGGAGAAAAGAGCTTTAAAACTATATAGCACTCTTACAGACTATTCAAATATGGAGATAGGAAAATAAGTTTTTGAGCTTGCGGTGTTAAAAATGGAAACTTGCGACAGCATAGCAGGTGCAAAATTGAATTGAATACTGCTCAATAGGTTCAAAACTACAGTATACCTTGTCTCAACAAAAACTTGACAATCTCGGGATATCCATGCTCAGCGGCATAATGCAATGGCGTTCGTTGCTCATTATCCACCAAGTCCACAGAACATTCCAGCTCGATCAACAACTGTACAGCCTCATAATTTCTTGCAGCCACTGCTATATGTAGTGCAGTCATTCCATCTTTATTCTGACGAGTTTTCGATATTGGCTTCTTTAAATTAAGAAGTCTTATGACTGGCAGCGCCTGGGGGAGATTGACACCAACTGCACACATCAAGGGAATCACTCCGGTTTTGTCACGTTGGTCCACAGAAAACAGAGGATTGTTTGGGTCTGAAATTGAGCAAATTATAGCCCAAAAATTTTTCTATTAACTGATTCTGAATTCATGAAAATTGAACCGAAATTGACATAGTTATGATTTTTTGAGAAAAAACTTTCAAAAAAAATTTTCCAACATTTTTTTCAAGTTTTACAAATTTCAAAAATCCCACCTAACAGAATACGACATCCCTCCAAATTCACTTTACACGCTGCATAATGAAGTGGAGTTCTTCCTCGTTTATCCTGCACAATTTTGTAAAAATCCGATAGTTGAGGAAAATACTTCAGGCTTTCCATGAACATCTGAAATTTTTTGTTGGAACTTTTCAAAAAAAAAAAAATTTCACAAACTTTCAAAATCCTATTATCCTGTTTAGTGGCAGCTATGTGAAATGGAGTCACCAAATCTGAATCTTTGGCTAGAATTAGCTCATTGGCTTTTCCTTTTTCTCCAAATTCCTCTTCATATCTTTCGTACATTAGCAGGATTTCTTTGACCACCTGGAAAAGTTTTTTTTTTAAATAAAATTTGTGTTTTGAAATTTCCCACTTTTACACAATTATACTGGGTCGCCCAATGGAGTACGGTAGCTTTTTGGAGGTCCAGAATTCCGACTAGACTCTCTGTTTTCGGGATTTGACGTTTTCTGAATGGAACAATCTTAAGCTTACTGGAATTTTTGAATTTTCTGAGATTTTTGAAGTTTTCTAAATTTCATGAGTCCTGGAAATTCCAGAAATTTGAAAACTCGGATTACCAAGCTTCTGGAATTACTAGGTTTTTTAGAATTTCCAATAGTTTCTGAATTTCTGAATTTCTGAATTTCTGAATTTCTGAATTTATGAATTTATGAATTTCTGAATTTCTGAATTTCTGAATTTCTGAATTTCTGAATTTCTGAAATTCGGAATTTCTGAATTTCTGATTTTTTGAATTTCCGAATTTTTGAATTTCTAAATTTTCGAATTTTGTGGATTTTAAAATTTTGTGAAAGTTTCTAAATATTACTTAAAATTCTAAGTTTTCTGGAGTTTAAGAATTTTCTAGAACTTTCTAGATTTCTCAATTTCTAAGCGATTGGAATTTTCTACTTTCTGAACTTCTAATTTTTTCCAATACTTCCAAATAAAAAAAACACCAACTTCATGATAAACATGAAATTCTTGACATTATCCGTAATGGCTGCATGAAAAAGGACATTTCGTCCTTTTTCATCTTTGGTGTCCCATAATTCATCGATTTTTATCGATTGATTCGGTGAATTCCCATTTTTCAATCTTCGTTTTTCCAACTGTTTGACCTGATATTCGAATTCGCTCTGAAATTTTTTTGAATTTTTGGACTTTTTTTGAAATTAAAAAATACAATTAAAAAAAGACTCACTGGGGTCCCTTCTGCCGCCCAGTACAAAATGGGTTTTGGGTCCATTTTTCTGAAAAATCTGTTTAAAACAATAGGTCAGAGAATTGTGAATACAGAAATAATAAGAAAATAAAGAAAATAATGACAAGGAAAAAGATACTAACTGGAGAAGAAGAATAAGGAACAGGTTTTGACTGAGAGAGAGAGAGAGAGAGAGAGAGAGAGAGAGAGAGAGAGAGAGAGAGAGAGAGGGAGAGAGAAAAGAATAAGAAGAGGTGATACAAATTGTGTATGATTTTTATGATTAAAAGGAAAAACAATCATTCAAAAAATCGGAATTTGGTCTAAAAACGTCGTTTAAGGTGATTTTTCAATTCCAAAGTTCAGAAAATTTTGGAAGAGCCAGAAGTTCATTAAAGAAAAATTAGATTATTCCAAAATTTAAGACTTCGAATTTAAGATGCAAAAAAAGAAGAATTAAGAAAATTGGAAGAGCTTTGGGTCCTAAATTTTGCGGGACCTAAAATTAATGTTATTTGACGAAATGTGACGATCTTTTTTGCTGATATTGATCAGAAATTATATTTGAACTAGAAAACCCATATCGCAAACTTCCAAGACTATTTGAACATCTCATTCTAAAAGTCAGAGGACCACTACAGACCCTCGAAATTGTCATTTTGGATCCTAAACAATCCATCATAACTTTTAAAAAATTCCTGCTCGATTTGTTTGATTTTAATATCAATTTATAGCAAATTTTCCGGGCTACATTTAATTTGTTTTAAGCTTTCTATGAAAGTCAACTTTGAAATCAGAAAACGCGCTCTATTGAACTATAACAAAATTTTGAATCATTTCTTCAAAAACTCATAACTCTCTCAATTCTTGATCAATTTCCTATATTTTTATACCGTTTCATAGTAAATTTTATGAGCTTTATTACAAATTACATCATTTTCAATTTCAGATCCAAACTTCCCATCTCTAATGGACCAGCATGACGAATAGGGAGTCATTCCCTGGATGCGCCCTCTTTTTCTTGTTCTCTTCACTAGAACTTTGTCCTACTTCTAGATTTCTTTCTGAACTTTTTTATAATAAAACTCTTCCATCTCTCTCTCTCCAGAGTCCAATATTTCGTTTCTCGATTATTTGTATGCCCTCTTATCCCCGAAACTTTCTCCTCCACCACTCAATATCCTCCCTTTTTTCTTTTTTTTTCCCCAAAATGTTTGCTTTCGCTCATCCCCCACGGCTCTTTTGTGCTCTCTCTCTCTCTCAATCTCCCTTTTCAAATTTTATAATGTAGAAAGTTTCCATAATTTTTGTTCTCTGCAATTTTTTTTTTTTTTTGGGTCAAAACCAATATCCAGAATTAACAATTGAATTTTTTGAATTTTCGTAAAAAATTTTTTTTTTGAAATCTTTTTTTTGGTTCTCGAATTTTCTTTTGTTCATCCCATCCTAATGTCCTTTTTTCACTTTTTTCAAAGCACACTCTTTAAGAAAGTGTGGGAAAACACTTTGAAAAATTTTTTTTCGAAAAAGTAAAAAAAAAAAAAAAAATTTTAAAAAACCCAAATTTCCTCCCCGCAAATTTTTACGCGTAAACAAGCAGGCGTACATTTTGAGGTCATGAGAAATTTTCAAAATTTCCCCCTTTCTCCTTTTTGGTTAAAAAAATTTTTTTGGTCAGTTTTTTGATCTTTTTTTCTTGCTTTATTTTGTAGTTGTTTTTATATTACTATAATTCATAGAGTACTGAAATTATATATTTTTTTTGAAATTCAAAATCCAATCAGCTTTTTTCAAAAATATTCAAATCCAGGTGAAAAATGTTCTACCAATTTTGACTAGACATGAAAACTCATGTATTAGTACTTTCTAGAAGTTTGATTCAACTAGAAACAATTTTTTTATTTATTTGAAATCATAATTGAGCAATTGTTAGAACCCAATTGTCTCAAAAAGAAGCCGATATTTTGCTGAAATTTAGCGATTTTTAAAAATCAGGAAACATAGTTCAAAAATTTTGGAAAAAGCATGGACATTTCAGAATACACTAAACAAATCTAGAGCTTCATTTTTGTAGTTGACAACTTATTTGTAAATCAGGTCATGAGGAGATATGCCATGTGGAAAAAGACACCCTACCCGGCACCATCAAACCCAAAATTCATTTTCAGATTCTATAAACTAGAGCCCAGAATTTTTCAATTTGTCTGAAAATTTCAGAATATACAAAACAAAACTAGAGCTTCATTTTTGTAGTCTATAACTTTTTTGTAAAATCAGGTCATGAGGAGATATGCTACGTGGAAAAAGATACACCACCCCCCCCCCTTTTGAAGAAAACATAGAGGTGGGTCCCAACAGGCATGCTCCTTTCCACGTGGCATATCTCCTGAGGACCTGATTTTACAAAAAAGTTGTACACTTAAAAAATGAAGCTCTAGTTTTGTTTAGTATACTCTGAAAATTTTGAAACAAATTGAACAACTTTGAACTGCTTTTTTAAAGTTTCAAATTTGACCATTGCTACTAAAAAAACTAAAATATGTTTTTTTTGGGTAGAGTATCTCTTCAGAATGTGATTTTTCAAAGAAGTTGTTAATTACAAAACTGAAGCTCTATTTTTGTTTAGTACATTCTGAAATTTTCAGACAAATTGAAAATTTTTGAACTTCTTCTCCAACGCTTCAAATTTGACCCTTTTTCCTTTCAACAATGGCCGTCTTCTCTGAAATATTGATAATTTTTTAGGGTTTTTTGTAATCCAAATCCCAAAATTTTATGTTAATCTCATTGTCACCTATCACTGAACACTCTGTGCTTCTCATCCATTAAAACACTAGTACACAAAACTAGAGGAATTGGAGAAAAAGAAGAAAAAAAGAAGTTTCGTGTAGTGAAAAGTGGAAATTTAATAGAGAGTAGACGAAGGGGAAGAAGAAGAAGATGTAGGTTTAGTGCAGTGGACAGGAGGAATCTTTCTGTTTTCACACTTTTTTTGCAAAAAAAAATTTCAAAAAAAAATTTTTGAAAAATTTTCCAAAAAAAATGTTTTTTTGAATTGTCAATTTTTTTAATTTTTCAACCGCCTAATTCTTTTTTTCAGTTTTCTCTTTCCCAGAAAAAAAGAAGAAGCCATAAATTTATTTTCTCTGTCGCCAATCAACATTTTCATCATTAAAACACAAAATGGACAGATGAAGAGGGGGGGTTGGGGACAAAAACAAATGAAGCCAATTTTTCATTTTTCAGCTTTTTAGGAAAAAAGAAGAAAAGACGTTTTCTTTTTGCTCTTTTTTGAGACGTTTCTGGATTGGTTTTTTAGGTTTTTAGAAAATGTGAAAATTCTGAGTTTGAAAATTCAGATATTCGGAAATTCAGAAATTTCCCAAACTCTAAAAAATTTTGTCTAAATACGAGAATCTCAGAATCTCAGAATCTCAGAATCTCAGAATCTCAGAATCTCTGAATCTCAGAAACTCAGAATCTCAGAACCTCAGAAACTCAGAATCTCAGAATCTCAGAATCTCAGAATCTCAGAATCTCAGAATCTCAGAATCTCAGAATCTCGGAACTTCAGAATCTCAGAATCTCAGAAACCCAGAATCTCAGAATCTCAGAATCTCAGAATCTCAGAATCTCAGAATTTCAGAATCTCTGAATCTCAGAATCTCAGAATCTCAGAATCTCAGAATCTCAGAATCTCAGAATCTCAGAATCTCAGAATCTCAGAATCTCGGAACTTCAGAATCTCAGAATCTCAGAAACCCAGAATCTCAGAATCTCAGAATCTCAGAATCTCAGAATCTCAGAATTTCAGAATCTCTGAATCTCTGAATCTTGGAATTTCAGAACCTTGGAATTTCAAAATTCGATTTTCTAAACCTTTTTCTCTCGATTGTAATCTTTCTAAATTTCCACTTTTTTCCAATTTTTCAGGGGTAAATGAACGAAAAACTGCTTCTTCGATTTTTAACCTATATAATTTTTCGATTTCTACATTTGCTATTATTACTGGAATCCGATATTTATGCCCTTCTATTACGGTTATTTGATAAGAAAAATGAAAACGACGAGGTGGAGATCTTCAACATTTTTGCGAGGTAATTTGAAAATTTCAAAAAATTCCAGAATAATTTTATTTTCTCAAAAAATCAAAATTTTCAGACACCGATTCGATTCTACAGATGCAACCAAGGAGTCGGATTTCTTGTCATTTCATGAAAAAACGACACTTTTTGAGGAAATTTGTGAAGAAGGGTGAGCAATTTTAAAGAAATCTACAAAATTAGGCCGTGGCCTAGAAACCCAAAAAAATGAGTCATGACCTAGAAATCCAAAAAACTAGACCGTGACCTAAAAATCCAAAAAAATGAGTCATGACCTAGAAATCCAAAAAACTAGGTCATGATCTAGAAATCCAAAAAAATTAGGTCATGACCTAAATTTTTTTTTCAATTTTCAAAAATTTTCAGCTGGCACATCTACAGTATCACGGATCGCTACGTCTATTTTGTGAAAATCCAGCCCATCACAGAGGACAATTTTGATAAGACCATATCAATCGAAAAATGCTCAAAGCTCTCGAATTTTCTATATCAAAACGCGGAAAAATTGGCACGATGCCAACTTGAAACTTTTCAAAGAATCACTAGGACCCTATCGCCGTCCCGTGAGAAAATTGTGATTTTTCATTCGGCACCGGGTTGCGGTGGGACTACTGTAGGCAAATTGCTACAAAGTTGTGATGGATCGAAAATTTCGTTGTTGGTTGTCGGTAAGTTTTTTTTTGAATTTTGAATTTTTCAACAATCTCAAAAATTGTTTGAAATTAAATAAGCTTTCTAAATATATTTGTTGAGTCTGAGAATACTGATTTTCAGCCAAGTTATAGCTCCCTAAAGTTGGTGGCCTAGAAAACCAAATTTCTGGGTTTCTAAAAAATGAACTTCAAAATACCAAAAATGTTTTAGCACCATTGGAAATGCTTTATTTAGAGCTTCAAAATAAATATAATCATGACTGGGTTCTGAAAATAAGGACATTTCAAAAATTTGGGTCTCACCACGAAAACTGTAAAATGACCGTAACTCGGTTGGTTTTCAAACAAATTCAAAAATTTTGAACTTTCTGAATTTGTATTGTTTTTGGCTTCAAAATGAGTATAATCATGACAAGGTTCTGAAATTTTCGAAACTTTGGGTCCCACCACGAAAAGTATAAAACGACCGTAACTCGGTTCAAAACCAATATTTTCAAAATTCAAAAACTGTTTCCAATAGCTCATGAAATTTTACATCTCTTTAAATATAAATAGGCCAGAAAACCAAGTTTATGGATATCTAGGCCACATGTCAAAAATTGTAGTTCTAGATTTTCTAGACCACAAACTTCAAAATGCCATAACTCGGTTCAAAATCATTATTTTTAGAATCTAAGAACACTTTTAAATAGATCCTTAAATTTCAAAAATTTTTATTAAAAAATTGTTTAGAAGAATTTTCACCTGATGTCCTAGAAAAACGGATTTCTAGGCCATCATATACAAATTTCTGTATATTATGTCTTAGGTTGTAAGTTGGTTCAAAATCAATATTTCTCGAAAATTCTAAAAGTTTTCGATACAATTTTTTCTATTTTTACAGGCGAGCCACCATTCCTGACCTCTCTGAGTCTTCTATACAACAAATTCTCCATCGAAGACCTTCGAAACATCTCAAAATCCGTAATTCGCTACTCAACGATGCACCAAAAATCCCAACAAACTCTAGTTTTTAAATCTCGCTCTTCCAGCACGAAAATTGTTCCATTCATACATTCATCACTTCCTTCCGTTCAACATTTCTTCATTACACGAAAAAATTCCAATGATACCATATCCAGATTACTTCTGAAGACCTCCACAGAATTAAATTATTCGATTTTCCGATTTTTACTGAAATTCGGACATTTTTTGGATATTTCATGGATTTCCAGCTGGAAAGATTTGGAGGCAGAGACTTTTCTGAGGGTTGGACCTAAAACGGACGTTGAATTTTCAATGTCTCAAGTTTTTGGATCAATTTTGAATTATCGAAGAAATCGACAATATTTTGTGCCAGACATGCCGTATGTGGAAGATTTGGTGAGTTTTTTTTTGAATTTTTGAATTTTTAAAATACGAAAAGAGCAGGAATTCCAAAATCTATCTATTCCAGTTTTCAGATTTCAAAAATATCGATTTTGAGCCAAGTTATGGTAATTTAACCCTTTTCGTGGTGGGACCCAAAATTTCAAAAAATTCAGAACCTGGTTATGATTGCACTTATTTTGAAGCTAAAAACGTCACAAATTTAAAACTGTTAAAATTTTCAAATTTGATCAAAAATAAACCGAGTTATGACCATTTAACGCTTTTCGTGGTGGGACCCAAAATTTCGAAAATTTCGAAAATTTTAGAAACTTTGTCATGATTATATTTATTTTGAAGCTCAAAACGTCACAAATTCAAAACTGTTAAAATTTTCAAATTTGACCAAAAACCAACCGAGTTACGACCATTTAACGCTTTTCGTGGTGGGACCCAAAATTTCGAAAATTTCGAAAATTCAGAGCCTTGTCATGATTATACTCATTTTGAAGCCAAAAACAATACAATGTGTCAAATTTGACAAAACGTTTAAAACTGGTTTCAGAATTCGAAAATATCAATTTCGAGTCAAGTTATAGCCCTCTAAAGTTAGTGGCCTAGAAAACCAAACTCTGGAATTTCTGGGCCATGAACTTCAAAATGCCATAACTCACCTCAAAATCAATGTTTTCAAAATCTAAAAACGGCAATCGATAAATTTTGAAATTCTACAATTCATGATATTTTAATAATTTCAAAATTTCAAAAATTGCTTCCAGATCTCCGACACCGCCATCCACATCCGTCCTCTTCTGGATCTTTGTGAAATTTCCGATTTGGCAATTCCAGAATGCATAGAATGGAAGCGGAATCAGGAGGAGCAAATTCAACAAGTCTGGGATACTGTAGATTTGAATCCAGATGACGTGGCAAGAGTCGGGCAACTGGTGGACATGTTGGAGCAAGATGTCTTCTTTTCTTGATCTGATTTTTTTGACATAGATAATAAATTTTTTGTAAATTTTGAAAAGCGAAAAAATTGAAAAATGCATAACAAAACGGAAAGAGGCTCCATGAACCTATCAAATGAGAAACATGACACATTTTGGAAGAAAGAAAGAGAGAGAGAGAGAGAGAGAGAGAGAGAGAGACGCAGAGAAAGAGAAAAATGAGAGAGATGGAACAGTTGTTTTATGAAAAGGACTCCGACTTTCTCTTTTTTCTGCGGTCACCACCAAAATTTCATAACTTTTATCCCCAAATTACTGAAAATTCTGAAAATTCTGAATTTCTGAATTTCTGAATTTCTGAATTTCTAAATTTCTGAATTTCTGAATTTCTGAATTTCTGAATTTCTGAATTTCTGAATTTCTGAGATTCTGAATTTCTGAATTTCTGAATTTCTGAATTTCTGAATTTCTGAATTTCTGAATTTCTGAATTTCTGAATTTCTGAATTTCTGAATTTCTGAATTTCTGAATTTCTGAATTTCTGAAAAGAATAAGTGTTCTCTTATCTTGATTGCTCATCACTCTATTCGTATTGCTCATCTTCCTTTCTTCCTCTATTTTTTGCTCTTTTTAGTAGTTTCTTAGATCCTGGACCCAGATAAAATACAAAATACACATTTTCGTATTCTTCTTCTTTCTTTTTTTTTCTTATGAGAAAGAAAAGTTGTTATATTTGGTAGTCTGTTAATATTTCTCTTTTTTTTCTAGCTGTGATTTTTTGAAATTCCATTTTTTTGACATTTCAATTTTTCTGTGAAAATTCATTTTCACATGGAAAAGGTTGAAATTTTAATTTTCTAGCAACTTTTTCAAAAAAAGGACAGGTGAAAACATTTTTTGGCATTTTTTGACACTAGCAAATTGGATCTAAATGTTGTAGTTTTATCAAAAATGCTGACAGAATTAGTTAAGTGTTGTGAAAATCAAAATATTGTCATTTTTTGAAAAAAGGTTAATTTTCAGAATTAAAGAAAACGCCTACCTGTCTAGAACAGAGTTTTATAAGCAGGCTCAAAAAAACCTCATTTTCCAGAACAATTTTCAAACTTCCCGCAAAAATAAATTATAGTTTCAAAGCCCTTTCTCTTAGCTTCCGTTTAATACAAAAATAAACTTTGTATCTAGATCTTAAGCCAAGTTACAGGATTCTAAATAAGCCCATATTTGATTTTTGGTACTGCCTAGCAGTAGAAAAATCGAATTTTGGTACTGCTTAGCAGGTGTGGTAATTGGTACAAATGCAGTACCAATTTTAGTGTTTTGGTGACTTTAAGAGTTCATAACTTTGTTCAAAATAAACATTTTGAAATGACTTTTAATTTTTTAGATAGCCAGGAAAGAGAGCTTTCACAAATGCACAAATTGATGCACAAATTGATCATACAAAGTTTCAATTGAACTGAAATTCGGTGGTTGTTTTAAATCCTTATATATTTGTTGAAAATTTCAATTTTATCTATATGAATTTTGAAATATTTTAAAGCCCTTTTTCATAGCTTTCATTTGATACAAAAATCAACATTCTTTCTTGATATTAAGCCAAGTTACAGGTTTCTAAATAAGCCCATAGTGGATTTTTGATACTGCCCAGCAGTAGCAAAATCAAAGTTTGGTACTGCTTAGCAGGTGTAAAGTTTCAAAATGCAGTACCAATTTTAGTGTTTTGGTTACTTGACGAGCTCATAACTTTGCTCAAAATCAACATTTTGGAATAATTTTGAACTTTTTAGATAGTCGGAAAATAGTGCTTTCAAATAATCCAAAACGATTTGCCTGGAAAATTTTTTTGAAGAAACAAAAGAATCATTGAAACAACTGGTGTATTTAAATGCTGAAAAACAAACTTTTAAGTTTCTTTCAAAATGCTAAAAACTAAACTTTTGATTTTCAAAGGAAAAAAAAAGGAAATTAAAAACTTCCAACACTATAGTATCCAGATCAAATATATAAGAAACCCTATTTCCCATTTTTCTAGTGTATCCAATTTGTTCTTTCTTCTTCTTTTTTCCCTTCTTTTTCGATATATATATTCCCTAGTGCTCTCCCCTGGTTGCCATAGAAAATTTGCTCGTTTTTGCCTCTTGTTCTCCTCTTTTTTCTCCAATTTTTTCCTTCTTTTTGTGTATGTATACACCTCCAAATTTCGATTACTTTATTTTCTCTACTTTTTTACGCGTTTTCTGGAATTTTCTGGAAGAATTTTTAGTTTAGAAAAGGAAAGAAAATATAATTTAGAATCTAAAACATCTTCAAGTTTGAAAAATCGAGTTTCACTGATTTGATTTTTCAAAATAATTTTTTGAAATTTTTGAGTATTTCATTTTTCCGTTTTTTTTTTAGTTTCCCGGAATTTGAAAAACAATAAACTCGAATATTTCGAAATTCAGAAATTTCAAAAAAATTATTTTCTGCAAAAAAATATTTTCAGCCAGGGGCAAAAATTTCCCAAGGGGTAAAATACTATAGTAGTCAAAGCATCCATAAATAAATAAATACTTTTTTTCAGACTTTTTTAGTATAGTTATAATAGTAAATCTTCCGGGAAAATTCATAGAATCCATTTTCTAAAATTTTAAATAACATTCTTTTCAAAATTCCAAAATTATTTCTCAAATTCCAAGTTTTTCAGATGTCTGCGGAGACATCCTCTAACTACACCTCTCTACTAGAGGACATTCAGAATCTCACTGTGCTTCAGAATTCCACGTCACCAGAAATGTCGAAAAATTCAGATGAAATTTTTTTGGTGACAGAATTCCCATTTCCGTCTCCAGCCGATCCATTTGAGGATATGGATTTATTCAATGGGTCCGACTACAAAATCACTGCGATTCGAAATGGAACGGATACTGTAACAGTATTCGAGTATTTAAGTAAGTTTTGAAAATCCAAAAAATTTCAGAACTGTTTTTTTTTCAGACATCTCCCCATGGTTGATGTATTCTCTCTGTGGAATTATTGTCTTAATTGTTCTCGGTGCTATAATTGGGCTTGTGTGCTGGATTAAGAAAAACAAAACGTAAGTGGTTTGACGCGAATTTGAATTTTCAAAATTTTAAGAATTCTGAAATTCTGAATTTTTTAAATTATCAAATTTTCCAGCCGAGTGATCAACGAAACGACCGACCCGGTACTAGCCATGACGTTCCCCGGCTCAGGATGCTTCAGGTAGGGACAAACTGACACACAGACAGACACAATTATTTTTAATTTAAAAATAATGTTTTGTAGTTGCTGCTCCAAATCCGAGCCAAAAAGTGGAATGGACCAAAGACAAAATTCTTCGAGCAATTTGGAATTCTACGGAAGACCAGCATTACCACAGTCTGCTTATGTAGTGGAGAGACCGAAATCACAAGGTGGGGATGTTTTTTAAAAAATTCAAAAATAAACAATTTTTTAGTGAGGAGCTTTCTTAGTGAGGATCTTTCCTATAGTTAGTAAGGATTTTTCTTAGTAAGAATTTTTCTTAGTGAGGATTTTTTTAACAATATGTTAGGAACTTTCTTAATGAGGATCTTTCTTATATTTAGTAAGAATTTTTCTTAGTGAGAACTTTTCTTAGTAAGAAAATTTTTTAGTGAGGATCTTTCTTAGTGAGGATTTTTCTTAGTGAGAATTTTTCTTAATAAGGATCTTTCTTATAGTTAGTAAAAATTTTTCTTAGTGAGAACTTCTCTTAGTGAGAATCGTTCTTAAAAATTAGAATCCCTTTTTCAGAGAAAGTGTTTTTTTTCAAAATTTTCGAAAATTCCAAAGTTTTCTAAAATTTCCCCACAACTGACCAAACATCAAAAAAGGGACCTCGAACATATAATTAGGCGCCCACTCTTTTCGATTTTTGAGGAGAGAGGGAGATTTTTGAGCGAAAAATTTTGTATATATTTTCCTTTATGTTGTAAACTATAATTAATTTTTTATCTAGCAAAAATTTTTCAAAAATGTGTAAATAAACAAGATTTGGAGGTCTATAATTGGAATTGGAGAGTTTTTTTTAAGGAATTCAGATGATGATGTGGAAATTTGAATACAATTCTAGGAAATTCAGAATATCAAATAAATATTAAAAAAGCGAAAATCGAAAATTTAAAAATCATAAGATACTAAATTGTTAAAAATTCATAGAAATCGAAAATGTTTCTAAATATGAACGGTGCTCACTTATAGTAAGAACGGTCCTCACTGAGAAAGATCCTCAGTAAGAAAAATTCTCAATTCTCACTAGTATTCTCACTGAGAAGTTCTCACTAAGAAATATGCTTATTTAGAAAATTCCTAATCAAGAGAGATTCTCACTAAAAAAAGTACTCATTACGAACCATCCTCACTAAGAAAAACTCTCACCAAGAAAGATTTTCGCTAAAAAGATCCTTATTAAGAAAGATCCTCATTAAGAATTATCCTCACTAAGAAATATTCTGACTAAGAGCGATTCTTACTAAGAATGATCCTCCTCAGGAGAGACCCTTATTAAGAATCATCCTCACTACGAAAGGGTCTTACTAAGAAAGATCCTCACTAAGAATCATCCCCACTAAGAAAGATTCTTACTAAGAAACATACTTACTAAGAAAGATTCTTAGTAAGAAGAAAGATTCTTAGTGAGAAAAATACGGAATCCTAAATTTCAAAATTTCTCCAGAATCCATGACCATCGCCACATCGAACCATGCCATGTACATCGACGGAATCGAGGATATTCCGAATCGAGAAATTCCACAAGGACAGCAAAGAGCTCTACCCAAATATCGATACCAACAATACCAGACATCGGAATAAATTTTTTGAAAAAAAAAAATTTCCCTATATCCTTACAGAAGCTTCCAAAACTTTCTAAAACCTTCTAGAACCTTCTAGAACCTTTAGGAATCTCCCAGAAGCTTCTAGAACTTTCAAAAACCTTCCAAAACCTTGTAAGATCTTTTGGAACCTTCCAGAAACTTCTAGAGTCTTTCAAAACGTCCCTAACTCCTCCTATTTTTTTGTAATATTTTCAGAAGATTCTAGAACCTTCCAGAACCTTCTATTTTGTTCTTCCCCTTTCTTACGTCCACTATATAACCAGTGCACTCCCCTATCAATTAACATATTCTCACAATTTCTTTTTCTGTGATACTCATTAAACCTTTTTTTCCAAAAAAAAAAATTGTTTCTGTGACATAAAAGTTAATATTTTGTGATTTTTTGGTTTGTTGGCTTTCGCGCCTTCGGCGCGCGGAATTCGTATTCCAGAACAGGATGAGGTATGTATTTAGGGTAGTAAAATACAGAAACGTAGGAAATTGGATTTTCCAAAAAAAAAATTAGTATGTCAACAAAAGTTTGATACTTTTTTGTAGAAACGGATTTTCCAAATATTTCAAATACTAAAAATTTGGAACATTGGCTCATTTTATATCCCAAAAATGGATTTCTTGAAATGTTAGCTGAAAACTCGAAATTCTGAAATATTAAAATTTTGAAATTTGGAGATTCTCAAATTTCGAAGCTCTGAAAATTTTTATTTTCTGAAAATTCAAAATCCAGAGAATTCTGAACTCTGAAAACTCAAAACTGTGGAATTTCAAAATTCAGAACTTCGGAAATTCAGCAATTAAACCATTCTGAAATCCAAAATTGCCGCCTCCTCGAAAATAATAAAACCCCATGAATTATCCGAAACCTCAAAAATCAAAAATTGCCCCCTCCCCCCACTCACTTATTTGCCATTATTTGCAAAATTACACCTCCCCCCCCTCTCCGACCAAAAATTTGCAAAAATCACCTCTTCGCCAAGCTCCACCCCCTATTTTCCAGCCTCCGCTTTTCTCAAAACTTGAGCAATTTGCGTTGGCGTATTTTCGAAAACACAGAGACGCGCACCTATCAATTAGGGTGCTCGCTAGAAAATGTGGGCGGAGCTTAGCCGTTTTATATAAAAGTGGCTCTAGATATCAACAATTCACCACTTTTTCAGTTGATTTCGAAATCTTAAATCACTTCTGCCCCTGGAATGGTTTCCTTTCTGAAACATTTACGTATTGAAAACGAGACCGGTGTCTTGCGAGACGCCCGTACTCCTCCAATGACTCCAAAATTGCCAAAAACCCCAAAAACTCCAATGACACCTCGTCCAAACTTGAGCGCTATGAGCCCACCGTGCACACCATGCTCACCGTTTGTGCTCAATGCAACGTCGTTTTGCTTTCGGAAAGGTTGGTGGGGTATTTCCAGTATCATTTAATCTAAAAATCAGTATATTATCTTCACATTGAACAAAGTTATGAGATTTAGCATCATTTTCAAATTTTCCCTAACCAATGCCCATATGAAATTTATATAATTTTAAAGCTCTTTTTCATAGCATTTATTTAATACAAACAACGACATTCTCTCTCAATTTTAAGCCAAGTTACAGGCTTCCAAATAAACTCATAGTGAATTTTTGCTACTGTCCAGCAGTAGCAAAATCGCATTTTGGTACTGCTTGGCAGGTGTAAAATTTCAAAATGCAGTACCAATTTCAATGTTTTCCTATGTTCAAAAGCTCATCACTTTGCTCAAAATCAACATTTTGAAATAATTTTTGTTTTGTTGAATGGCTGGAAAATAGAGTTTTCAAATGGTGCACAACTCAAAACCATTTTCTAGGCCCCGCCCGTTCTGTGGTCTACCAACCAAACGGACACCCAAAACAAGTGGTCATCGACGGTGAAATCTGGCCACCAATTTTCAAGCCCAAGAATGTTCGTACCGCCAAAACGATGACATTCCATGACAACGACGTTGTGATTGCCACTTATCCAAAGTGCGGAACTACCTGGCTTCAGCACATCACTTCGCAGCTCGTCAAGGGACACGACTACAAGGCTGGGAAGGGAAATGGTAAATTTTTTGGGTCATTTTCACAGGCATTTGTAGTTTCAGAAGCTAGAGACGCAAACGACGAGACACTCAAACTGTCTGCGTCTCTCCAAAACTTTAAACGGCTATATCTCGGCTTCTAGGAGAGCTAGAATGTTGGTTTTTCGACTAAAATGAAGCCCGAAACCGATACTGTATCTTAAAATCACAATTTTCAGAGCTCTGCGTTCAATCTCCAATGATCGAGCGTATGGGCGCGGCGTTCGCCAACGAGATCAAGGGTCCACGCGTCCTAAAGACCCATTTCCACCACTACAACATCCCCAAATTCACCCAAACCAAGTACATCTACTGTGTCCGTAACCCCAAAGACTGCCTGACCTCCTATTTCCATCACAATCGCAATTTCAAAATCTACAACTGGGCCAATGGAACATGGGATGTCTTTGTTGATCTCTTTGCTTCTGGCCAATTGGCATTCGGCGACTATTTTGAGCATTTGCTCTCCTGGTTGCCAGGGCTGAGGGATGAGAATGTGCTGTTCTTAAAGTACGAGGACATGTTCCAAGATTTGGAGTCCGCCGTTTTCAAGGTATGTCCTTTTTGCCCTTCAAGATAGTCACGAAAACTCCCAAAATAATCTAGCTCACATAATTCCAAGTTAGCGGGAATTCTAAAATTTCAGTGAATTATTTCACAAGACATCATGTGTGAAATGGCGAAAAACATACACCAACGCAAAACAAATTATATGTCAGGGGAAGAGAAAGCGTGGGCTGAAATAGATTACTGTGGTTCTAGGGTTTAGTATTTCGTAACTTACTATAAGTTACAAAACACTAAACCTACAGTATACCATTCCAGCCCATGCATTTGTTTTCATCTGACAGATAATTTGCTTGGTAGGGCCTTCCCTAGTTAGTTGCTCTAGAACTTGTCAAATTCGTCTATGAATTGCTTATTTTATGAAATTTATGGAGCTTCAATTTTGTAGTTAATTTTTACATCATCTGAAAGCTCTTCTGGCTATCTAAAAAATTAAAAATTATTCCAAAATGTTGATTTTGAGCAAAGTTATGAGCTCGTAAAGTCACCAAAACACTAAAATTGGTACTGCATTCTGAAGTTTTACACCTGCCAAGCAGTACCAAAATGCGATTTTGCTACTGCTGGGCAGTACCAAAAATCAACTATGGGTTTATTTAGAAGCCTGTAACTTGGTTTAAAATTGAGAGAGAATGTCGTTGTTAGTATTAAATAAATGCTAGGATAAAGGGCTTTAAAATGATATAAAATTCATATGGATGAAATCAAAATTTTCAACAAATATATAAAGAGTTAAAACAACCACCGAATTTCAGTGCAATTGAAACTTTGTGATATCAATTTGTGCATCATCTGAAAGCTCTCTTTCCTGGTTATCTAAAAAAACTGAAAGTCATTTCAAAGTGTTCAATTCGAGCAAAGTTATGAGCTCTTAAAGTCACTGCAAAAACCCTAAAATTGCTACTGCATTTTGAAATTTTACACCTGCTAAGCAGTACCAAAATGCGATTTTGCTACTGCTTGGCAGTACCAAAAATCAAATATTAAACGGAAGCCAGGAAAAAGAGCATTAAAATGATATAAAATTCCTATAGGTTACTTCTCGAGCTTAGATTCTTGAGCTAGCTTTTTAAAACCCATAATTTCCAGATCGGTCAATTCCTGGGCGGTGAAGCTGCCAAACGTGTCGAGGATCCGGAAATCCTTAAGGAAATCGTGGAGAACAGCACGATCGACGCAATGAAGAAGGACCAGAAACGTTGGTTCCCAGAATCCCAACTCCACAAAGTGGAATTCATCCGAAAGGGTGGGAGTCGTGACTGGAAGAACCACTTCACCCGCGAGCAATCGGATCGTATTGATTCAATTTTTGCCGCCAAGTTTGCAGGAACTCCAGCTGAGCAGTGAGTTTTTAAGATCTGGAGTTTTTAGCTAAAATTTTCTGATTTTTCAGCTGGTGGAAATACGAAATGGCATGGGACGAGAAGCTTCCATCCATCGAGAACCTCTCCGTCGCTGGAAACGGAGAGGAAATGGAGCAAGAGGAAGACACCCAGAGCATCAAGCTATTTGCTCTTCCACCACTGCCACAAAGACGCTTCTCACGCACTTCGCTTCTTTCAACTGGTTACGGTAGCGTCTGGTCATTGTCATCCCAGAATGCCAACATGTCAGCCAGCTCTTCAATCAACAACAACTTGGCAAACTTGGGAAACTTCCCAGAATAATTTTATTCGCTTTTATTTTTCTGTAATTTTGTTCCTACTGTACTTTTTGGAATCCTTCATCACTTTTTTTGTAAAAAATCGAAAAATCTCAATTTTCTTTGTCATTTTGACCATCTCTTACCCATCAACCGACCCAAAGTTGTCCAAAAAATTGCCCAAATTTCGCCGCTTCCCTATTTTCTCCTATTTCATTCTAAATTCTTCAATTTCAAAAAAATCGAAATTTTTAAAAATTCAGTCCACAAACCCATTTTCCCCCTTCTGATTCTAAACCCCGACCCCATCCAAATCCCCAAACATGTCCCTTGAAAAACCAGTACTTTTCTCTAAATGTCCAAAAATTAGTTTTACAATTTTTCGGCTATTTTTTATCTCTTATTCCGTTCAAACCCAAAAATCCCAATTCTGTGTGAATCTCCATATTTGTGTGATCTGAATAAAAATTACATGTGATAAACTGAAAATTTTTTGTAAATTCAATTTTTCTCTGTCCGGTCTCCCCAGTTTGAATTTCTGACTGCAAGCGGTGGACCGCGATTACAACATTTTTTCAAATTTTGTAAAACATCAAAATCTAATTTTTTTTATTTTTCGACTGGCTAGCTGATTTTGTACTTAAAATGTGTGTTCTAGCCTGCTAAATAATTTGTAAATGCGAAAAATCGGATGAAACTCGCTGAAAATCCGTTTTTCAGTCTGAGAATATCTGAAAATTCAAACAATGCTGCTGAACTCTGCAAGCGCGCTCTATCTGCCAGCGGTTAGAGACTGCGTAATTCCGAGAGACGCAGAGAAAATCCTACATTTTTCCCATTGCTATGTCTAAAATTTAGCTTTTTTAATCAATTTCACTCATTTTTTAGACTTTTTTCTCGTTTTTTTTCAAAGATAAAATCTCTGAAATACAATTTTTCAGGATGAAACGGGTCGCTAGCACTAAACTGTCCGAGGAGGAGCGCACAGAACAAACAAGCCAAGTTTGGCTTCAAAACGCAAAGTTTCAGGAGGTTCTGGGCGCTGATTCATCGCACAAAGTGAGTCAAAAGATGGAGAATTTGATGGAGAACAGCTGTAAATTAAAAAAAAATCAATTAACAATCCTCGAATCTTCCAGTCCCTGTTCCTTCTCCTCTCCCAGCCCGATGGATCTCAAGGCATTCTTCTCGCCAACAAATCCCCGTTTTCCGAGGACAAATCCGACATTGAGAAGCTTCTAGAGACAGCGAAACTTCAGGAAATCTCGCGTAACGACATTTTCGGATCCTATAATATTGAAGTGGATGGCAAACTTAATTGTAGGGGATAAAATAAAGAAAATCCTAAAGTTTGATTTTCCAGTGCTTAAATCTCAACTAATCTACCCGGTCAACGATCGGCTCATCGCCAAATATCGTCAGGAGGAGAAATTCGTGATTCGAGAGACGCCGGAGCTTTATGAGACTGTCACAAAACCATATATCGAGAAGTTTCAGCTAAATCTCAATGTAAGAGAAGAAGAATGCTAGAAAAGTTTGGAAAGACGACAAAGAATCCATAAATTTTGTCATGTTGAGCTAAAATGCGTTAAATTTGATTTTTTCAGTTGAAAAATGGCGCTTCTTGCATATTTAATGCTAAAAATCACTATAAAAGACTCTACAAAAAATGAGCATTTTAGCTGGATTTAGGCTCAAATTTTGACTCGGAATGCTCCAAATTCATGAAAATGAAATTTCAGCATTTTGGGTAATTTTTGAGCAAAAAATGAGTAGCTATTAGGTTGCAATTAGTGTCCAAATTAAATTTTACGACAAAGAATCCATAATTTCAATGAAAAATGCGCATTTTGGTACTGCCAAGCAGTAGCAAAATGCCACGTGGATGATTTTGCTACTGCTAAGCAGTACCAAAAGGCTATTTTGCTACTGCTTGGCAGATGCAAAATCAGGTTTTGGTACTGCTCGGCAGTACCAAAATTGCCACTCAGCTCTTTGACTGTTGCAAAATAGGCCTAAAATCCTCAAAAAATTCGGTTTTTTCTTATTTTCGTCTGTTTCCAGCTGGAAATTTCAATTTTTAAAGAGAAATTGACTCGAAAATGGCTGAAAAGTACCTAAATCCACGTGGAATCTGTCTGAAATCGGTCAAAAATCAGTTTTTATAGGATTATGGTACTGCCAGGCAGTAGCAAATTTCGATTTTGGTACTGCTAAGCAGTGGCAAATTTCGATTTTCTGCATTTTCTTCTCTCTTTCAGTGGGTCTACAACTGCCTGGAAAAGCGTTCCGAAGTCGACAAAATCGTCTACGAGGATCCAGACAAAAATAATGGATTCCTTCTGCTCCAGGACATTAAATGGGATGGAAAAACCATTGAAAATCTCTATGTGCTCGCTATCATCCATCGCCACGGGCTGAAATCGGTCCGCGATTTGACTGGAGACGATTTGGAGGTATTTTTATTCGAAAATTCTGATTTTCAAGCCAATATTCTGGTTCCAGATGCTCTATAACATCCGTGACAAATCCCTCACCGCTATCAACGAGAAATACGGGCTACAAAAGGACCAAATCAAGTGCTACTTCCATTATCAGCCATCATTTTATCATCTACACGTTCATTTTATCAATTTGAAGTATGATGCACCGGCTAGCACGACGATGTCGGCGATTCTTCTGGATGACGTCATCAATAATTTGGAATTGAGCTCGGATCACTACAAAAAATCCACGTTGACATTTACGAGGAAGAATGGTGATAAGCTGATGGAGATGTTCAGAGAGGCGACGGCTTCTAAATAATTTTTGTTAAAATTTTTATATGTTGATCTCTTATAAACCGGTTGTTTTATTTTCTTTTTTCTAGTTCTCGCTGTATTTAATTGCATCATATCTCAACTTTTTTAGTTTCTTATCATCTCCCCTTCATTCAAAAGTCTTGAATTCCAACAAAAAACCGCCCGAAAAATCCAGAAAAATCATGTCAATTCTGATCCTGTACGGTAGCGAGACGGGTACGGCGCAGGATCTAGCCGAATCCCTTCGACGCGAAGCGCAAATGAGACATTTGGCGGCGAGAGTGTTCGAATTGGATGAGTATGATGTTGGGGTGAGCTGGAAATATCGATTTTTAGGGAGGAGTTGGCTCAAAAATGGTTAAAATGCGCCAAAATTCATGGAAATCTGTCTAGAATAGGCTGGAAACCAACGTTGGTACTGCTTGGTAGTGGGAAAAGGCTCCGATTTGAGTTATTTTTTGAGCTAAAGACGCTGAAAATGTGAATTTTTGATGCTGAAAATCGCTTTTAACTGCTCCAAAATCGTCAAAATGCTACTTTTTGGTACTGCTTAGCAGTAGCAAAATCATCCACGTAGATTTGCTACTGCCGAGCAGTACCAAAAATGTGATTTTTATGCCGAGTTTATGGATTTTTTGTCGTTAAATTAGATTTTACTACTGCTGGGCAATGGGAAAATGCTCAAAATGTGACTTGCAATGCTCCAAACTAATAGAAAATGAAAGCCCAGCATTTTTAGTCGTATTCAAGCTAAAAATTCTTAAAATTCGATTGATTTTCAGCAAAAAAACAAAGACACTTTTGACATATTTAAAAGCTCGAAATCGCTATAAACGGCTCTAAATTGCACCAGGATGCTCGAAAATCATTTTGAATGAAACATTTAGCTGAGTTTTAGGCTTAAGAAGCTCGACTCTCGACTCAGAATGCTTCAAATTGATGGAAAAAGCTATTTTCGACTCATTTTTAACTCAAAAATGAGCAGGAATGCTGAAATCTAGCTGAAAATAACTAATTTCATTCAACTTGAAGCATTGTGAGTCAATTTTGAATGAATTTGATGTTTTTAGAAATTTTCAAGTTTCAGATTCAGATAAAAAGCAACATTTTCCAACTAGAATGATGTTTTCCAGCACTTTAATTCAAAGTTTGAAATTTTTCACAACAAAAAAGACTCAATACGCTGTATTGCATCATTTTGGAGCATTCCGATTCGAAAATTCGTGTTTTTTGAGCCCAAAAATCCAGCTAAAATACTCATGTTTCGTTCTAAATGTGTTTCGAGCTGTTTATAGCGATTTTCAGCTTTAACATATGTAAAAAGTGTCATTTTTCTTTTTTTAGCACAAGAATGACACAAATTGCCGGAACTTTATTTTGCATATCAATTTGTTGCTATAAACGGCTCTGAAATGCAAAAAGCCTAATTTTTGACATTCATTTTCAAAATTTCGCCTGATTCAAAGCGAATCCACGTGGTTTTCAGAACAATTTTCTAATTTTTCCGGCTAGAATTCCTCCGCTTTGTACAAAAATCTCTTTTTCCAGAATCTCCCCTCAGAAGATGTGATTCTCTTTGTTGTCTCCACCACCGGCCAAGGAGAAATGCCGCCGAATATGCGAAAAACGTGGAAATCCCTGCTTCGAAAGTCGCTGGGCATGGATTTCCTCCGAAATACGCATTGCACTGTCCTGGGACTCGGCGATTCGTCATACCAGAAGTACAATTTTGCCGGGAAGAAGCTATTTCGACGTCTAGCTCAATTGGGAGCAAAAATGATGACGAAGGGGGCGTTTTTGGCCGATGATCAGCACGAAATTGGTATCGATGGAGCTTTTATACCCTGGAAGCAAGAAATATGGACCGGGATTCGAGATTTGGGGATTTTCGAGAAAATGAGCGAGCAGATAGATCCGGACGTCGAAATTCAGACGAGATATCGAATAGTGGCAGTGGGAAAAGGAGTAGAAGAAGAATCAGAAGACGCGGAATTTTCAGAATCTGACTACGAAGCCCTCCGAGTCGCTAGCAACGTCCGTGTGACTTCTGAAGCTCATTTCCAAGACACTCGTCTTGTGAAATTTGAAATTCCCGTCGAATCTAGAATTCCCATGACGTATCTCCCAGGAGATGTTCTCATGGTGCGCCCTTATAATCCAGAAGAAACCGTGAAAATTGCCATAGAAGCGTTGGGATATTCAGAGGAGATGCTGCACAGGACAGTAAAAGTGGTGAAAAATGATCAATTTTCAAAAAATCCACCGTATTTTCTATTCGGACACAGAACGACACTTTTAACCCTCCTCCAGCGCTACTTCGACCTCCAACAGATACCAAAACGCTCGTTTTTTGAAATGATGGCTTACTACTCGAAGGATCCATCGGAAAAGGAACGTCTTCGAGAACTTTCCAGCCCCGAAGGTCTTGACGATCTTCTGGACTATGCGAATCGATGTCGGAGGACCACGGCAGAGACTTTTCGGGATTTTCCGGCCACTTCTAAGAAATTGGGGCTAAATCATCTTTTTGAGATTCTCACTGTCATTCGTCCTAGAGCATTTAGTATTGCATCGGCGCCGAGCGGAAGCCACGTGGAATTGTTGGTGGCGAAAGTGGAATACAAGTCGAGGATGGCGGATAGAAGGCGGGGATTGTGTAGCACTTTTATTGCGAGGCTCAAGGAGGGGGATGAGGTGATTTTTAAATGATAAAGAAAGCCAGATTTTTGAGCTATCAAATAAAATGGTCAATTGGTATTGCTGAGCTTTACCAATTTTTCGATATTTCTAAAAAATCGAATTTTCTACCAATTTGAATCTCTAGTTTCCAGCTATCGTTTGGTAGAAAATTATTGATCTAGCTAAATTTTGAGCGAAGTTTTGAGCCTTTAAAGTCAAAATTGGTACTGCTTAGCAGGTGTGAAATCACATTTTGGTACTGCTTAGCAGTAGCAAAATCGCATTTTGCTACTGCCGGGCAGGTGTAAAATTTTGAAAAACTTTGGAATTTCAGAAAAATGTTTAATCTAGGATTTATCAAAAACGATATATTTCTCACTAGTTTGGCTGTAACTATAACTTTGTTCAGGTTTAAAAAAACCAAAAAAAATGACCCAAATTTTAACATGACCTAGGAAAAATCAATTTTAAAGAATCCATAATGATTTTTCTTTTGTTCAAAATTATACTCAAATTAAAGCCCTGTTTTTCAGCTATCGTTTGGAACAAAAATGATTGATCTAGCTAAATGTTGAGCCAAGTTATGCGCCTTTGAGTTTAAGAAAAGTGAGAATTTAGTACTGCTTAGCAGGTGTAAAATTAAGTTTTGGTACTGCGTAGCAGTAGCAAAGTCCAATTTTACACCTGCTAAGCAGTACCAAAATCTCACTGCTTGTAACTCGTGGCTTCAATTTGAACTATAATTTGTAACAGAAAAACAATTTCGCATCACTAAAAATTTGTTTTTCCTATGCCATATTTGATTTTGTAGATTTTTTCGTATGGTTTAAAAAATAGCCACATTTCTATGATTTGGTACAAAAATGAATACTGTAGCTTAATTTTGAGACAAGTTACAAACGTTCAAAGTCAGAATTGGTACTGCTTAGCAGTAGCAAAATCAAGCTGAGCAGTACCAAATTCTCACTTTTTCAAATTTTAAAGACGCATAACTTTTTTCAAACACTTGCTACGTTGACAATTTTTATACCAAACAAAAGCTGAAAAACGGGGCTTCAATATAATAACTGAAAAGCGAAGAAATTCTTCAGGTCTTCTGCAAAATCCGCGCTGGCACCTTCCGATTCCCCACGCCCGACGCTCCAGTCATCTGCATCGGTCCTGGCACAGGAGTAGCCCCGTTTCGAAGCCTTTTCGGGCAAAGATCTCAAATGTAACCATTTCGAAAACCTCGAAACGCCGAAATTTCAAATTTTCAGCTCTCCCAACTCGACGGGTTTTCTATTCTTCGGATGTCGTGGCGAACATGACGACTTCTATTTTTCCGAGGAATGGAATAAAATGGAATGTGTGGAAGTGGTTGCTGCATTCAGTAGAGATACGGAGAAGAAGGTTTATGTACAGCACAAAATGGGCGAAAGAGCTAGGGATATTAAGAAGATGTTGGATTCGGGAGCCAGTGTATTCATCGCTGGAAGTTCTGGAGACATGCCAAAAGCGGTGGCGTCGGTTTTAGCACAAATCCAGGGCGGGGAGTGGACCAAGAAAGCCGAAGAGACTGGAAGGATTCAGTACGAGACGTGGTCCTAAAGAATCTGAATTATAAATTTTCGATTTTATTGATTTTTGTGTCTTTTTTTGAATTATTTGTTTAGCTAGATGAAATGTGATAATGCTGTGATATCATTTTTACTCAATTAGCTTCTTTTTGTACAACTTTATTCAATTTTCCCCTTTTCAGTCCCATTTCTAGGACCTAGAAGCTAGGTAAAACAGTAGCGACCTGTGTCCATTAGCCAGTAGCTCATAAGCCTAATCCTCTGCCTCCTGATTTCATAACAATATCATATTTCCTATAAAGCACCTTTTCTTCCGCCTTATGGTGTTAAATTCCGCAAAAAGGGTTCCTTTTAAAGGAGAGTGAATGTAGGTACATTAGGAAGATAGCACCAAGAGCAAATTTATCTCGTTTCCTGTAAAAGATATGAAAAAGTTGTCAACTCATAAATTGTTAGGCATAATATCACCTATATTTTATCAGTTGACAAGTTTTTGATATGTTTCACAGGAAGTGGGATAATCCGGCTCAAAATTGAAAACTCAGGAGTTAACCAAAGTTGAAAGCTTAGAGTTAGCGTTACGCTGGTTAAAAGGCGATGTCGTTGAATTTCTTGCTCTAAGCATGCGCTTATCAAAAATGACTTGAACCATTAGAAAGTTTGAGAAAAGACCTTTAATTTGATATAGAACAGCATAAATGATTTTGAGACTCAAAATCAGAATTCTGTGTTCAAAAAACCAACATGTTCCAAAAATCACTAGAAAGGTATCGAGATGTGAGAAAGAGTTTGACTTTGAGGACTTATAACTTGGCTGAAAATTTAGCTACATCAATTTTTTTTCAAATTATAAATAGTTGAAAATTTGGGCTAAAATTTAACATAGAACACAAAAAATGATTATTGGACTCGAAATTAGAGTTTTGAGCTCAAAAAATAAATTTGAATTTCAAAATTTCTGAATTCTCGATTTTCTGAAGTTATCAATTTCTGAAATTCTGAATAGCTGAATATCCGAATTTCGAATTTTTGAATTTCAGATATTCCGAATTTCTGAGTTTCAAACTTTCTGAATTTTTGAATTTCGGAATTTCAGAATTTCTGAGTTTCGGAATTTCTGAATTTTTGAATTTTTGAAATTTCGAATTTCTGAATTCTTGATTTCTACGACTTGTGAATTTAGAATTCTTGAATTTCTGAATTTTCGAATTTCTGAATTTTTGAATTTCGGAAATTCTGAATTTCTGAGTTCCTGAATTTCTCAATTTTCTGAAAATTCTGAATTTCTGAGCTTCTTGTGTTCCAAAAGCCACTTCAAAGGTGTGAAAAAATCCCCCCCCCCACTTAAATATAAGTGCACATTTTCTCCCCTCACCGGGACCACACTAAATAAAAGGATACATTTGTGCAAAGAGATGACCTCCTCTCTCTCCGAGAAGTGCAAACAAAAAAGTGTGCTCTAATCTGAATAACAAACTTTTAGCTAACTTTCTCTTATAGAGCAAATAGGTCACACTTCCTCTACCCATTCCAATGGACAAGCTTCAGTTAATTTGGGGTGTATAAGATGCACTTCATATGGTACATGGTACCTTATTTGTATGTATTGGTCAAATATTGGCGCCAAAAATGGGAAGAGACACGTGAAGAGATTTATCTGTTTGTCCGGATGTCTTCTGGCTTCCAGAAATGCATGATTTTGTGTCTTACTGTACTTTCTATTGTTTCAAGGTACCTCGGGAAGGCTCTTCTATTGCAGGTGCACTTCTATTAGAGGGAGCCTTTCTAACACGTGAATCTCAAAATCATGGAATCTAAATTTTGAAAAAAATTCTGGATTACCGTAAACCTGTATTAAGCTTTTATTGTTGTTCTAAGGTACCTCTTTAGGGTACTTCTATTAGAGGGGCCCGCTGGTCCCTCATCACTTCAAACCACAAAAAAAAACGCCTAAAAATTTGAATTCTTGCTGTAAAAGGTGTGATAATATTGTATTGTATACATATATTTTTATCAGTATAAAAAATGGGAAAAAATGATAACAGATAACAGTAAGCGGATTATCACACCCTTCAAACATACACATACTTTTTTCAGCAGGGTTTATTGATTTGAACGGAAAACGGAATTTGAAAAATTTTAAAACAAAAAATTGGCAAATTTGAAGAATCTGAAAATCTGAAATCCTGAAAAAAAAGTCGAGTATTATTTTCAAAATTCCCTAATTTGGCTCATATTAGCTCAAATTTTATGGTGATTATACCAAAAAATAGAGAATTTCAAGGACTAAAAAAGAACAAAAAGACATTTAGCCTAGTTAACTCAACTCTTGTAAGAGATATCGAAAAGTTGTAAACTGATAACTTGTTTATCATAATATCACACACATTTTACCTGTTGACCAATTTTTGATATCTCTTATAGGAGCTGAGATAATTGAGATCCAACTTCACAGTGTAGGGTGCCCTTCTATTACAGGTTTTACGGTATTCGTTAGGGTTAAAAAATTTGGTTTTCAGAAAAATGAAAGGACGAACTACAAAATTAAAGCACTGGCTTCGTTTCGTACCTTGAAAAAGTCATAAATATTTTTGAAATTTTTTGAAAAATTCAAAATTTTGATTCCCAAAAAAAATGTTGTTGGCAAATTTTTTTTATTGAAATTCAAAAATCCCCAGAATTTCTACAAGTCTCATATTTTCAAAGTTTTCCTCCCCAATTATTTTCTTATTCAAATTTATAGCGCATCGCGAATGACTAAGGCTGAGCAATTAACCGCAGGGGGATTAAAATGGAAGGGGGTCTCTAAACTATTGTAAATTGTATTGTAAGACGATGATTATGTGTGTTTTTCATAGAAAAATTTTCATTTTACAGTACCCCTCAGGGTTACTGTAGTCGCCTCGATTTACCTCATCATCATCGGAAGCAATAGGTCTGGTTGTAAATAATAGGGGGGAAAATATAGATCGGAGGGATTAGAGAGAGGGGAAAAGAGAAAAAAGAGGATTACTGTTGAAAATGGAGAAGGAGAGAACAACACTTTTTATATATGGGTTTAATGGTATGGTTTTGGTATATAGAAGGACATTTTATTACTATTATAGAAGCTGATCATCATAAAATGAATATTCAATGAATTTTGAGGATTAGGAGTCTATAAAGATATAATTGAAGGAGGATACTTGACATACTTGACCCAGAAGACATTTTGTGGACATCCGGATACACAGAAATCAGATGAATACCTGTAATAGCAGGGCGGTCCCAGTTTTACGAAAAACATTCGAAAAAATTCACAAAATCCAATGATATCAAAGATAGGGCCGCAAAAAATACCACAAAATTTAGCATGACCTAGGAAAAATCAATTTTTAGCAAATCATTTAACAAGATTCTATTACAAATTTTAGTGCAAATTATAGCCCTGTTTCTCAGCTATCGTTTGGTGTAAAAACCGTCAACGTAGCATATGTTCGAAAAAAGTTATGCGCCTTTAAAGTTACGAAAACAGAGAATTTGGTACTGCCTAGCAGGTGTAAAATTGAATTTTGCTACTGCCAGGCAGTAGCAAAATCTGATTTTGCGCCTACTAAGCAGTACCAATTTTGACTTTAAAGACTAAACACTAGGTTCAAAGTTTAGCTAAATCGGTTATTTTTGTACCAAAATATCAATGTAACAAATGTTTAAACAAAGTTATGGGCCTTTGAAGTTACGAACAGTGAGGATTTACTAAGTAGTACCAATTTTGAGAGGTGTCTGTCTTTAAAGGCGCATAACTTTTTTTTAAATTACAGCTATCCAGTTGAATTTTATACCAATCATATTAACTTTGTTAGAGTTCATATTAACTTTGTTATAGTCCAATTTTAAAATTGAGCTCAAAATTCGGTTTGAAATATCCAAAAATCAAAAGTTATGACTATCTTCAGTAGTTGAACTCTTTTGAGATGACAATTTTCAATATTTCATTATGAATTTTTAATCTTATTTTATATCAAATCAAAGCCCTGTTTTTCAGCTATCGTTTGGTATAACAATCCGCAACGTAGAAAGTGTTTGAAAAAAGTTATGCGCCTTTAAAGTTACAAACACAATCAAATCTGTTTTTCAAAGTTCCGTAATCAAAAATTGTGACATCTTCACGGGAGTTTCGAGAAATCTCCAAGATTCTGGATTATCTTATAATAGCCACAAATTTCAAGCCACCATTCGATATAATTTTGGCGGTAATTCAGAAGAAAACTCCGAAAATGACCTTTCGTGGATTTTCAAAATTTTCATGATTCCTAAGTGGTTTTTTTCATGTTTAAATATTTTTTTTTGGTCCCTGATTTTCGTTTTCCCCCATTGCTCAGCTCCAGATCTCTTCTCAAACATCCCCAGACACCAATTAGCCTCCTCCTCCGCCTCCTATTAGGATCAGATATTAGGTAACACCTTAGTGTCAATTCCCTCCCAAATGTCCCAAAATGTATCTATTACCTCCCGTCCCCGTATTCTTTGCCACGTGTTTGCTCCTTCTTCCGTTTCTTCTTAAAAATCCAAATGTGTGCACACAAAATGGTCCGGGTGTTGTGCAATTCTGGAGGAGACAGCTGTATTGAGAGGGAATTGTGTAATGGACCAGAGAGGACTGTAATTATGGGTGGAAGAAAAATTGAGATAGTGTTTTAGAGATTAGCATCGACCTGTCTTAAAAAACACCTGTCCCAACAAAGTGGGTCTCTGGGGAACATTTTGAAAAAATTTGGGAACTTCGAAATGTATGAATTTTCAATTTTGGGAATTTTTCGTAAAAATTATACTAAAGGAAACAAAATCTACATTTCATTCGTTTTATTCTCCAATTGAATAAAAATCGTATTGCTTTATTGGTTCTTGAGATATGCGCTTTTAAAGGCACTCCACTTTGAGGGAGGCAAGACACCCAAAATGAGGAAGGTCAATTCTTAAGGCGCATGTCTGTATTTCGAAACTGTTATTCAGGAATTTTCATTCAGATTAAAACCCTGTTTTTCAGCTCTC